CGTTATTTCGATTTAAAATAGTATAATTATTAATTAAATAAAGGATTCCTATCAATAGAAATACCAAAATTAGGCCTATTAGAATAACCTTAAGTTTTAGTCTCTGTTTAGTTTATTCGAATTCTTTAAAAGTTTATATTAAGTTTATATAAATTGATAGATGGGAGGGGGACGAGTTATAGGGCTAGTAGGCCTCCGATTATTCCTGCTAACCGGTGGCACAGAGGCTTTTATGGCTCTTCGAGTGATAAAAAAAACCGGGGTTAATTTGATTTATGTGGAGCACTGGTGCTGGTGTTGATGCTTGTCAGGTTGGGTATTAGTTCAGGGTCGGTTTTTTGTTGATGCTTGTCGGTTTGTGGAGGAGTATTAAGTTTGTTGTATATAGCTAGGCATAAAGCTTAGAATCCTTCTCCAAATATGTAAGCCTTATCCTTCAATTCCCTCCTTCCTTCCTAAATAATTTATCCGTCTTCCTCTGGCATCACCTTTTAAGTTCAATGTCTCAGCAATGGAATGTTTGCTTCTCATCTATCCCGCGATTTTCAAAAGAGTCTTTCTCTCTTGCCCTTCGACATCTATCCACATGTGCGGTGAATCTCTAGGCATAGTCTTCGCTCCCTTGAGATTGGAGAGGGAGGTTTCCCATGCCTGTAACAAAGATGTGAGAGAAGGAAGGAAATATCGGATGATATCAGGAAGAGGACCCGCGGAGGTACGGGTGCCTACCATCTACAGCTACACCAACAACTTTCTACTTTCCACACTATATCTCGAAGTGATGAAGACAAAAAACACTCAGTTGACCTCGCACTCCTTGCAGAATTTCTTTCTTGCACAAACGACAGAAGCGGAAAAAAGAGCTTAAGAGCCATATGGGATACCCCCCTCGAGATGTCTCTTCACTACCAACGACAGGCTTGCATGAAAACTTATTTCACCGGCATATTCGTCTAATAAGCCATATCATACATTCCAGAAACTCGATGTTCATGGTTACAACGAACTTCCAGTTGACCACATTGCTAGGTCCTGATAATACATGAACAATCATGCAATATTCACCGCGATCCGGATTGCTTCCGGACTACGGAAAGGGTACTGAAATTTTTAGGGGAAACAGGACGCAAGACATGTACAGTTGAGAAAATCGGCAGAGTCACTCGGTATTATCATTCACGTCTCCCAAAGGCAGAACAGCCAATCCATGGACTGTCCACATGAGTTTGGTTATGAATCCATGGCGTCTATTTTGGACAAGGTTGTGACAATTATGGTCGGAGGCAGATGGTGTCTTTCAATATTTTAGATTTCGAGTCAGTATTTCGAGCGAAGGAAGTCATACAATCATTGCCGAAATTTAATTTCAAGGATCGATGTCCGACATTTAACACCGTGGTGCGATGTGCCGGTCAAGATCGAACATCAATACAGACATCTAGTGGTGATTCTAAAAATGATTATTGATCAAGCTAGAGCGGAGTGATAATATTGAACTTGGTTAGTTATATTCGATGTCAGACTTCACTTTCCGAATTTGTTCTAAACTATCCCAGAAGAATACCATTCTTGGTCCTCGGAGAGTGCTCATCTATCTTACACGAAAAGAAATGGGTAATCCGCAGCCAAGCGCCCTTTATATATAATATACGAAAGGGTGTGCAGTTCAACGACTAGACGGGAATTGGCGCAAGTTTGCGCTTAAGGTATAGTCTAACCTTTGATGAAAATCATTATCCGTTATTTATCTTTTGAGAAAATAAGGGTAATCTCACCTTCTGCGACTAAGTTGCAGAAGGTGACTATTGGGAAAGGTCAACTACTGCCCTAACTCTAACTTATCTATAAACCACCCACAACTCGAGTAAGAGTTGTAGTAAAGGTGTGGAGGTTGAGTGAAGTAAAAGATCCTTGCTTTTGGTCAACTTAACTTATCCACATGAATGCAGGAATCATGAAGAGTTTGACTGTCCGTCGATTAAAAAGGTTCACGAGCTGGGTTAAATACGTTTTGAGACAGTGTGTTTTTTCTCTTCTAGAGGAAATTAGGATAAAATAAGGATAGTTCGATATCTTGCCTCCAGAAAATATCACATGGCGGACGTCCCGCTTTAGGCTATGACTACATTGACTAGGTGTATTGACAAGGGTTGCGGAAAGATGGGGCGCCGTTGTCAAGTAGACGGTCCGCGAGTATTATGCGCGGGGAACCTTCGCGCAGGCAAACTAGTTATTTCGTATTAGATGTACGAATGCAATGGACGAAGTATTGCGCCATGGTGCTGATACAAATAATCAACCTCAGGGCACCCACATCCTCGCGAAATATAATTGTTGGTATCAACGGGAACACCTTTCAGGTCTACGATGGTAGGTAGCCCGACGAGTGTTCAGTGTTGAAATCTTGCAGTTGTTATGGAAAGCTATTCTAGACAATGGAGACTATATGCGTATTGAGGCCCTAGAGCTAGTACTTGCCCTAGCGCTTCGCTAGTACGACGCCGGTGCTCAGGTACGGTAGATGACTATACCGACAATAATGGATGTCAAAGCAATTGTAGAGGCCCCAGGTTTCGTAGCCGGCTTCTCTCAATCAACCGTAGGAGACACCACGCCCAACGTTTTAGGCGCATGGTGCGACGATGGTTATGGGCAACAGTGTACCGTAAACAACAGTACCTGTGCCGGTATATCCCAGACTTGTCACGGTCGCGGTCCCGCGTTCCAAGCATTGGATCTGGGGGTAGCATCCTGACTGCAAGAGAACTTTGCATAGTCTTCTGATTCGATAGCCGCAAGTGCGAACACATGATTAGTGTCTCCCTTGAGACACATACAGATCTTCTATGGTCAACAGGGTAGTCAAATGCGAGGATGTTTAGTCTCCTCGTCATTACGGCACCCAGGCATTATGCAACACAAATCATTCAAGGATATTCATATCCTGTTGACTTTGCCGAATCAGTTCAATGAGACTTCATTAGGAGATACTTCGGGGTATGTTGAGGGGTTCGGCCATTACGAATAGACATGCAAGTGCTTCCATATTTTCTAATGAGTCATCAGACTAGTAGTCTAGGCCTAGGAAATAATTAATCTTTCAACGGTCTCCATGCTCGGAGCACTTGCCAGGTTTTGAATGCTCATGTATGTTTGTGGTATTACCATAAGCAGACAAGTGTACCATTTGCACACCAAGAGCTTTTCTTTTCCCTCTTGTGTGAATGCATTTCTAAACCGAACCTGCCGCGGAAACTACTCTTGCGGTGCATGACATAAGATCTCTTGTTCTTTGCAGCATTGTTTGAATGACTAGCTATCTCCTTCACCACATCCCCGTGCAAGCACTCCATCGTTGCGACCAACTCGTAATCAGCACTTGGGAAATTCAGTATGGCAATGCTCACTCTGACCACCCCGACACGAAGTATTAAGACCCGTGTTTAGTTGCCTTCCTAGCAGACAGCCTTACTCGACCTTGGATAGAATAAACCCAGGTCAAATCCACAATATGTTCTGCCTCTTTTCTTCGACCAAACTATCGTCCGTACTCCCCAAGTTGCATTTCGATTGACTTCTCTGACAGTAGGAACCTCCACTGAGGTGGCAGCCGGTCCAGTGCCATTTGGTATGCCTTGCATCCTACATCCAAACCTCAACACTTTATCTGTTTCTTCTGTTTATCTGTTTCTTCTGCGGCTCCTTACCCCTCTCGCATTCGTGCCACCCACTTATTCTTTGTTGTCAATATTCTCGAAAGCCTAGTAGCTGCCGCGGACCCAAACTAATCGAGAAGCGGGTTCTTCGATGCCGATTTAGGGAATGTACAAATGATGAGGTGCTGCGTGGGTGAGTATGAAATCTCGAGGCCAGCGAATTTGTGCCGAGTTATTTTCATTGATTCGGGTTTGATGGGATGCCGTTATCTGCCAACACAATGGAAACAAGTTCTCGGATTCGTTTCGGTACTTTCAAGGGCGATAACTCTGGTGGTATACTGCCACACACTTTAGAGCTTGGTGGAAGAATTGAGGATTCCACTTCCAAGAACCGTTGTAGAGAATTTTCGTATAATTCTTCGGTGATTGAATTAGCTACCATATCTGGAATTCAAGGAAACGAACAAAACATTCCAAAAGTCTATGGGTGGAAGCGTTGTCCCCCTTCCCCCTTTAATCTTACCTTGTCAACCAATAGAAGGGTTAATCAACAGGGGTTATATGATTCGCTACAGCCACATGCACGGCCACTCATATGTTCCGCCACACGAAACTCAGGCTGAGAAGTAGGCATATAACTCGTAGTAATCTTGGAGAACAGGACAGACTACAGGGCTTACAAGTGAACATCAGTTTGATTCCATAACAAAATTAGATGTAACTTTACCATTCGTCCATATTTCCTACCCAGATGCATGGCATGCCAGGAAAATTTGTCAACACCTTTTGACGAAAGAGAACTTACGTATATCCATCATGTGGAAAGCCGTCGCTACCGTAAAAAACATACCCTGAAATTACACGAAGATATATGACAAACGATGGGATCATTGTTTCGATATCATTAAGAAATGTAACTAAAGCCGGAACACTCATTGCATGGCCAATATACACTGCACATACCGTACCAATACAATTTCCTTTTGAGATGAAGACCCTGTACGAGGAAACGGTCCTCATCGCAAATCGCGGCCTCTGGTTGACAAATATTCTTGGACTACAATATTACTTTGTTTTCACGGCTAAACTCCAGCATCCCTTGCGTCCAGCATCACATCGACATGGTATAACAGTTGAGGGGTCAATCATCCTTGAGGCATATTTGTCAGCTATTCTAGGGGCCTTCTGGGTATCGATGAAAATTAACATGCTTGGAAGCACATTGGTACTCCACAAACTCTGATAGGTTTGCGGAGGTACATCGAGTTCAGGCTGGGGCCTCATGCACTACGATACAATTCTCCGTCTAGATGAGTGCCGCCGGCTCGACACTGCGTATCAGCTAGCTCCCTGCCCCTTAAAACGTCACATAATCCTTCCCCACGTACAACACATTGTTTGGTTCTCTCCGAATCGGCGTTTATTTTTACCAACTACAGACCATTCTATGGTGGTTATGTTCATAGTATCACACATCCATTCCGTCGCTCGCTACCAACAAGATTAGTCTGCTGTGTTACCGCTGCAAGTATGCTACCGAGAGTTGTCTCTCAATTCGGGGCTGTTTTGTACAGTATTTTGAGGATGCTATCTTCATCTTCACACCCTATCTCACCACATTCTAATTCTATTCCATGAAATCAAATTAAAATTTTGATTATCATTTATATCGTGTACTTCAATCTCAAGCCAGTTATACGCTCCATTTAATCGGATAGGACCATCGCATTACTGCACCGTCTCTTCGAGCAATCTTAACTTGTCATATATACCCTCTTTGAGAAGCTGCAGCAGCAGTTTGTTTGCTACCAACTTGGACTAGGTAAGCCACAAAGACCTTTTTATCTCACTGATTCGCCCACCATCGATGTACATGTGGGAGGCCGGACTGGAGCGGTTCAAAATTTAGCATCCGATCAGCAAATCAAGGTTTTGGTTCAATCCGTGGACCTGGTATCTTCTACTTCCACTTGTTTGTTATACCACCATACTCCTGCAAATGTTAGAAATAAGGGATCGTCTTAGCCGCTTTTCGCAAATGACACATGTTCAGGCGTTGCTTAAACCTTGTTAATACTGCGTGAGTACTCGGGTACTACCACACCTTACCAGAAACTTTCCTCGATGAGCTTGTTTGCTCATATAATGAGCAGCTATGGATTTCGAACTATAACAAACGAGTTTGTTCAATGCACATAATATCTAGCAAACAAATCTTGTCATTATGGTGGTCCTTGGATCAGAAAAGCAAGCAACCGAAACCATTTCTACTTCCTCGAATATGTTACCTTCCGGTCGGCTACATGAATATCTGACTGTCTGGACTTGGGCTTGGATCCGTCAGAAGCTATCAGACATTCAAACGGCAAGATGTATCGGTCACTTGCAGCATTACATTTGGGTTCTCGAGTTTGTTTGCTGCCTCGGGACTTGCTTTGTTACGAGATGGTTGATGGTCGTGAATTCATTTAAGTGATCAGTGATGCCTCCATCGAATTCCTCGTTCTTTGAATCTCCAGTTCTACTCCTCAAAATTCACTGCACAACAACTTCTGTACACTGCTCCTCTACATTCAAATCGCTTATCATTACGATGGCCATCGCAACCATGACGAAACAAAGTCCACAATTTACCTGCGACCTTTGCAAAAAGGTCTTTGACAATGAAACGAGGCTCAGGGCCCACCAGCAGAGAATACATCATCAGAGACGCCAGCTACAACCATGCAGTTACAGAAGGATATTGCCCAAGCCACCTGGCTTCATTGACAACACTGAGAGCCTTGCCATATATCCTGCGACAAATCTAAATCGTATGTACACGACAAAGCTCTAGCAAGATGCCTCTCAGTCTAACAAAATATAGAATACATTACCTCCCCTCGTTTCCCATATCCCAGCAAGCCCCCGAGCCGACCGATCTCTCCATTGTCCCTGGACTACAAATTTTCGACAATCCATGGCAGCAATATCATAACAAGTACCCCCTCAGTGGAGAACCTAAGAAAAATACCACCAACACAGCCCGCCCCATCTTGGAAATCTCCTACGTGGAGTGAAATTGAACATACCATCGACCGTAACATACTCTTCGACCCCACGAGCGTGTCTCCAAAGACGGCGTCGACATATTCAAATGGTCTTAACACCACCCTCTCTTTCTCCCCGAGTGTAATGCACTACGAGGACAGCTTCCAGGCCGCCTCCTTTACCGAAGGAGCACCACGCACGTGTATAGACAACTGCGACATCCCGTTGCCGAGTATTGAGTCGCCCGACCGAGAGTATGTGGCTGCAGATGACACATTCCGGTCGTGCCTCGATACACTTGAGTCATTCAAAGAGCTGACGGAATGGGATCTCAATGAGCTATAGCAAACTCTCCTTCTGTGCGGGGTATATATATGGTGAATTGGCAGTGCTGCCAGGTGGGATCAAGATCAAGAAATGTACACTGTTATTGTTGCATAGGCTTGGGGTTGGGGTAGATTGGCTTTTGTGGGATGTGTATTGATATAATATCATCGGCTGCACAAAGTTCGATCGGATACTGCCATGTATAGCTGGTGATATTTATTCGTATATATAGATTCTCTCAGATATATATGACACTTTCCGACTTCCATCATCACATCCTACTTTCCAACCGTGACATATCTCATGCCTAGCCAGTGTTGAATCTTACTTGAAAATCAATTGGATTTTCTGGAGTTCTACTTAGTAAACTATACCTCTTTGCTATACACTTTCTCATCCCAAATTTTTCCCGATACAACATGTAAACAAAATTCACTTAGCGTCACGGTCTAGCGTACCCACTTTTCGGTTACTTCTAGCCTCCTTCGTTACTTCTAGACACACAAAATATCACTAGTATCCTTCTTTATACAGCAGTTAATATATTCCAAAATAAAATCAAGAAATCAAAAACCTTGCCGCCCCCCATATAGGGGGCGGGAGGAAAAACCCCAGGCGAATAGGATTTTTTAGAGGACCCGGCGCGACACTCCTAACAGCTACACTAAAGTGCCGGTTTTACTCGACTTGGCGTTTGTCGACGGGTATACTATGGTGCTGGGGTTTATATAGAAGATATGTGGTATGGTAGAATCGTATATGGGCTACATTTGAGGGAGTAGAGATCTGGTTATCTGAGGAGTGGACAGGTAAGTGTGAAGTCATGTTGTACAAGGAGCTGCATATTTATGTCTGGTCTGCGGTGGTGAGATAGAAATTCTGGTATATTTATCATAAGGCTATGTTTATGTGAAGGAATTACTGAGTAATTTCAATGTAGATATGTCTAACTTTAAGCTACAAGGCCAGTCATCTCACAATTACTTAGCCTTGTTTCCTTCATGCCAGCTGCAGCCTTATATCATATGCATTTCTTCCCCAGCAAATTCACAGGTCACATACCGGTATTCGAATCGCACGAATCATTACTCGCAAATGATAATCCATCAAATCATGCATTCGCAATCAAGCACAATAGTTGCGTCACGGTCACGTTAAGGTTGAGATCTCTGTGGAGCGAGTGGCTCGTCCCGCAGACGTCTAACCACAACATTCCCGTGCATAAATCGCCTCGTGTAGATGAAGTACAAGATGCGGTTCGTCTGATGTTTTCTGCGTGCCAGTGTACTATACTCGTACTGAGAGCCGACGGTATTCTCGTGGCGATGAATGCTGTGTTTGTGCTCTTGTGTCTGTTTTGGATTTCGGGAGGTGTGTCTGTGGCTGTGGCTGTGTGGCTGTGGCTTCGGTTAGTGTTGGGAATCGCGTGGCTCGTGCTCTTTTGGTAGTGGAACAATAGGTGGGGATAGGGATAGGGGTTAGAAGATATTCTGTTTTGCCATTATAAATTGTCTAATTCGTGGCCAAATTTCTTGCTTTCTGATAAATATTGATAGCAACAAAGGTTTCTATTATCCGATCTTCTTTCATAGCTTTTATTTGAAGTTGATTTTATATTTAGAAGATGATCTTGGTAGATCTCAACTCCCGCCTGCATGTTCGCTTACGCAGAGCTCGTCCCTTTTGATGGCTTGAAGTTAATATTGACGTCGAGCTCAACTTGGGATCAAGCTTTTGTCAGTATGATCACATCACTAGCTACACAGCTTGAAGGCAGCAATCCTTCGTGATGTTTTGTGTTCCATCATTCTCTCTTCCACCTCCCTTCCGGCTTATTCACCGGGCATTTATACCCCCAGAACGTCCGAAAGCTCCTACCAGCGTTAACAGCGTGGGAGAAGCGAGCCTACACGCGCAAAGATTAAGCCCAGCTTGCCGAGTTTGTTTGTCAGTCAGTTTTGATAAATGGGATTCTCTTCGATCGGAGCGAGCTATTCTTCAATAATACAATGCCAAGTGTCACGTTATTGTCATTTTATACAAGGTTATAGGCCTGGAAATGGTATTTGAATCAAGCCTAGCAAACAATCATCTATACCACAGGACCAAGTAGCGGATATATGAATGTAGGATATAGGGACGATGGGATGATAGGGTGAAATACTGGCGATATGCCTTGCAGAATTTACACAATGGTTTCAGGAAGCTCCTCTCAAAAACAAAATCATACCATACTCGTTCTTCCTCGTCAATAACAGTGATATAGAGTCCTTGACTGCTAGTTACTCTTGTAGAAATGAGACAATCGGAGAATAAGGGATCGATGAGATATTCTGCTCGTTAATTGTTCGTGGGGCCTCGAGTAAATTTTGAGGTGGATTAATGGGTGAAGAGGGTGCAATTTGTTTCGATCACGGATTCGTAAAGATTGGGTGGTGGCTCAGATCAAGGGGTGAGTTGTTTCCTCTTCACTTTCATCTCCGCTTCTTCCTGATCTTGAACAGCCGAATGAGTGGAGGTTGCGTCAATAGTATATGCTCGGCCGAAACCCATGACTTCTGAGAAATTTGAACGTATGGGTGGTGATGGGGAATTAGAAGGCAAATCCTGGTGTTGTTGACGTCTGGACGATGAAGACTGTACCGAAACATTCTCAGGCGCGTTTTCTTCACAATGAGTCGTTGAGTATGGGTCGAATGCTCGGCGTTGCTATGTTCAATTTACTTCAATGTCGTTACTCTTTGATTTAAAAGAATTGGTATCTTCCTCCTCATTTTCTCTAGATTCTCTGGCCACTGGCCGCTGGCCCTTCTTGATCTTGTTCAAAAGTGTTCATTTCTACTTTGAGTTGATTGTAGACAGTGGGAATCGAGGATTAGTCTCGGCGGGTTCTGATGAAATGATTATAGCTGGCGCTGGGTGATGAGAAGACCTTTCTCGTGCCATATAGATGCTTCTGGGAGATGGCAAAGATGACTCATGATCATCTATACCGACATGGTGATACCTCACTGAGCTTCTGGCAGGTCTATGCTTTCTCCGCCGTCGATAATAGCTCGAGTAACTGTGATACATACGTTCCAGTGGTGCGAGATCTTCTGCGTGTTCAATTAGCAAGATTAGATTCAAACTCGAAATGTACATATTCTCTCTGAATTCGTAGTTCTCTCTCATCAACGTTGCTAAAACTTGTGAGATACTGTTTCCCAAACAATTTCATCGTCACCATGTGCAGCACTATGCATATAGTTGTCTTCGCCGCTTTCATAAAGTTTCTTCAGAGAATCTCTGAGCATGTGAAATATATCCAGGAAGGATGCTATGGCGACGATGTGTTTACTGGTGAGTCTGGGGAGTATACGAGGCACACCGAGCAGGATAAGTGCACACTTTCAGTGTCGTGCATGAAGTGCTAATGGAAAATATCGGTGGTATTCTCGCTGCCGTGCGTCGGTACTAGATATGTAACTGCTCACTGTCTGTGGTATGAGACGGGTTTCTTTTTGTCTTTGATGAGTGAAAGAGAAATAAGCAAACATTGATACATATAGGTCTCCAAATCCCAGCAAGATTGCTCTCTCATTGTCGTCATTTGGAGTCATTAAATCTAGGCCTGAGTGATAGAACTACCTGGTCCTGCGATTGGGACCTTAAGACGTTGTGCGAAATATATGGGTTAACAATTGGCTCTCTAAAAAGACTGGCGTTGAACGGTCGACTGGGGCTTTGTAGGCAAATTCGGTCATCATCTAACATCAATGCGCATTATCTCGAGACCCTAGCTAGACTGGAGGTGCTTGATAACCTTACTATCTCTGATCAACCATGTAGATGAAGTCGCAACCAGGTTGGCGTGCCTCACAGAATAGAATATATGCTAAGAAACAAACTGTTCAACTTACGCTAACTGCGAGTAGTCTTTCTGACAACAAAGCCCTTTTATGGTTGCAATTAAATGATCCCTCGTATCCCCAAACCAAAGTACTATATGTGATGTGCTGGGACTCCCGTCGCCTACACTTACAAAGTCTTCAATTGTCTACTTTGTACTTAAGCTTTCACTTTCACATGGACATATCCACTCTGCAGCATGATTCAAACGCGGCTGGCTTCAAGGCGACTGCATGGCCTCCAAATCTCAAAAGATTGGGCGTGATGCTACGCGCGTCTAGCGATCGTTGGGTGAGTGAGTATATTGATCATAACCTCACAATTCAAACAAGTCAAGAGTTGCTCATCTTGTAAGCAAGAAGAAGGTGCCAGATGATTGGATACCATTTCAACCCGAATTAACACATTTCAGAATAAATCTGCAATTCATCCGATATACCGACGCCGCCCAACACACTTGTTAGAGGACCTAGGAAATTGCGCCATTGTGACAGCGAAAAACATCGAAGCTTAAAGTATATCATGTATGAAACCCGTGCACGGCATGTTGGCCAAGATCACGAGAGGATAGTTCTAGAAGAAACGAAGACCAGAGAGATGATGGAAGTCGAGCTTTTCGCCGCCGAGGAGGACGGTCGCGACCATCCACGGGCTTCGGCACCCACCATCCAAAACATGAGCTATAGTTTCAGGTGCTGGAACATTTCAGTTGCATGCTCAAAGACAAGAAGTCATGTTGATAGCCGTGCTTCAACGTTCAGAGGCGATTCGAACTTCCGAAGAATGCACTTGCTTATCTTCTATGGCTTTGCCGCTTGCAATCATACCGGCATTCAAACGTTTGACATTCCAATATTTACTTCTGATTGAGACTATGAGTGACTTCAGAGAGGAGAAATTGCAGAGCCATGTATGTTGAGCATATTGAACGTTTAATGCCAATTCAAAATAATGAATCTATGGTTATATCAATCGTTTTCCGTGGTAGTCGTCATGACTCGTCGTCGTTCAAATGGCCGAAAAAGATTATTGATTACGTAATCTCCTTATCGAATTGCTCCGCTTCCGATAAGTTGCAAAAATAATTTCATTTCTCCCTGGTTGTCTAAGCAAATTGGACTTTAAGAAACAACTTATTTCTATCATTCAATTTTTACAACCACATTCTCATAACGATGAAGCGCAAACTCGATGCCAATGATGTTCCTGTACCGACAGAGGAATCCGATATCGTAAAGGACAATGCTACTTTTGCCAGCCTGGGACTGGACGCACGTTTGCTCCAAGGCATCGCAAAGCAAAACTTTCGATCACCAACACCCGTACAGAGCAAGACAATCCCACTCACATTAGAAGGACGCGACCTTTTAGCTAGAGCTAAGACTGGTTCTGGAAAGACTGCTGCTTACCTACTACCAATTCTTCACTCGATATTGAAGCGGAAAGAGGTAAGCCGCAAAGACGTGATAAGCAAAATATGGACTGACAATTGTAGCTTTCTGCAACTCAATGCACATCCGCCCTCATTCTTGTACCCACCCGAGAACTTGCAGATCAAGTCTTCAAAACAGTTGAATCCTTCACCGCATTCTGTGCGAAAGATGTTCGAGCAGTCAACCTGACCCAGCGAGTTTCCGATGCTGTCCAACGATCACTTCTCGCAGACTCTCCAGATATTGTAATTGCAACACCAGCGAGGGCTTCCCTGAATGCCAATACATCTGCGCTTTCACTCGCAAACCTTACACACATGGTGATTGATGAAGCTGATTTGGTTTTGTCTTATGGTTACGATGAGGATTTGCAAAATGTTGCAAAAATCATGCCTAAGGGCGTGCAGACTATTCTAATGAGCGCTACATTGACGCCTGAGGTGGAAACTTTGAAAGGACTTTTCTGCAGGAATCCCGAGGTATTGAAATTGGAGGAGGCTGAGGCTGAGGGAGAAGGTGTTAGTCAATTTGTTGTGAAGTAAGTTTTTGTAATTTATATTGCTATTCATGCTAACAAACGACAGATGCGCCGAAGACGAGAAGTTCCTCCTGGTATATGTCATATTCAAATTGAAGCTTATAAAAGGAAAATGCATCATATTTGTGGGAGACATCGACAGATGTTATCGATTAAAGTTATTTTTGGAGCAATTCGGAACAAGGAGCTGCATCCTTAACTCGCAATTGCCTGTCAACTCACGTATCCACGTCGTCGAAGAATTCAACAAAAACGTTTACGATATCATCATTGCTTCGGATGAGCATGAAGTTTTAGGAGATGAGGATGAAGAAAAACCCGAGGAAGTGGAAGAGGTGGAGGTGGAGGTGGACGAAGCTGGCGAAGGAGATAAAGAAGACGCTAAGGATGCAAAGAAGGAAACCAAGCAACCCTCGAAGAAGAAGCAGAAGGCCGGGAAAAGAGACAAAGAATACGGAGTATCGCGAGGAATTGATTTCAAGAATGTTGCCTGCGTCCTTAATTTTGATCTGCCAACATCATCCAAATCATATACTCACAGAATTGGTCGAACTGCTCGAGCAGGCCAGACGGGTATGGCACTATCGTTTGTCATACCATCCGATTTGTATCGAAAGCACAAACCAACCAGCATCGGATCCGCGAAAGATGACGAGAAGGTGATGGCAAAGATTGTCAAGCACCAAGCAAAGAACGGCAAAGAAGTTAAACCATATAATTTTGATATGAAGCAAGTGGATGCTTTCCGGTACAGAATGGGCGATGCGCTACGAGCTGTGACAGGTATTGCAGTTCAGGAGGCCAAGACTCGGGAGATCAGACAGGAATTAATGAAGAGCGAGAAGCTCAAACGCCATTTCGAAGAGAACCCAAGCGATCTTTATCATCTTCGTCACGATGGCGAATTACGACCTGCTCGAGTACAAGCACATCTGAAGCACGTGCCTGATTATCTTCTCCCAAAAGAAGGCAAGAAAGGGATTACTGGTGGAGATATTGGATTTGTAGGAATGCACAAGACGACAGAAAACCGGATTAGGAAGGCTAGGATGGGAAACAAGGCGAAGGGACGAGGGAAAGGTCGGAAATCAGATCCTTTGAAAACTTTCAAAGTGAAGTCGAAGAAATAATTAGCTAGTGTACTGTATTGAATAAGATAGCATTTTTGTTGAGCCCATGGTAGAAATGCTGTGATGCGATTTGATGTGAATGGCGGGTTTTGAAATGCAGTTGCTATTTTCTTTAGCCGGAGCTGCTTCTACAGTTTTCGGATGCCGCCAAGTTTTATTAATTACCCTTGCACATTTCATCATTTTTTTTTTCAATTCGGTTCCCTTCTATAAGATGTAATTGCCCAATGGAAATACGATACAGTTCTAGCAGGAAACAGGTCTCATTCACCTATTAGTCGAGATGAACAGTGAACGTGGGAAATCTCTCCATCTTTTTGCATTTCCAGTGGGATATCCGAGACTTGAGATGGGTGTTTACAATGAAGTAAGTAGACAATTGTCGAGAGTGGCCGGAAGATTAAAGCAGTACTTGAGATATGGTATCTATTAAAATGTTCTCATGAAACTTCAGATGATCATTGTCATGTGACAGCATATCCTCATCTGTACTACGGCTGCGATGTGTGGGAACTTACCGAAACGATCAGTGAGTGACACAAGAATATCGAGCCGAATTCACTTGATCTGACAGTGCAACTTGAAATGACCGTCTTCTCACAACCCTATGCGCAAGAATTTTCTTCACGGAAAGCACTTCCATATGCTAATCCTACCGAAATCTTTCCAACTCGTACAACTAAGGCACTGCTTGTTGAAAACATTCACAACTGCAGACTGCAGTGGAATACCATGGTACTAAACGGGCTAAATGAGATTACAAGCAATACCAACACACTACGTGACCAGTACTAGATATCGGCTTAATTGGTTAACCAGTGCCTATACTGAAACTTACAATGTTGATGTACAAAATGTTTTCTATTTATTCATCATATTTTCCTGTCCTTACTTCATTCTCAGATACTTGAGATGAATACATTGCGTTTATATTGACATGAATTGTGTCCGTCTCAAAATTTCCTACTTATTAATGTTCTAGTGGATGTTGAGTATGGAGTAGCCCGGTTTTGTATATCAAACGCCTCTTCTTCAATATCGCAAGACAGTGTATGAATGAGACATTCCATATTTCAATAAGTAATCTGAATATTAAATGGCTCTCTGGTATACACATTTACTTCTCTATTGTAGCTTTGTCTTCAGGAACGTCGAGATGTCTTGTGTGAACTTTTGCAAGTGACAGCTTTCATTCGGAATCAGATGAAAATATCGGGATGGGATGAGACCATGTTTCAATAAGTATTGATTATTAAGTAGTTCTTCTCCGATATCTTTCTTTCGAGGTATAAAAAGTATATTATGGGGATTTATACAATGATCTCTCGACTCTGAGATCAGATGAGAATATAAGAACGACATGTGTTCATGTCTTAGTGCGTATTAGCCATAAACCGGGTATCTCTCCGATATTTTTCTTGGTTTGGGAGTAAGGAAGTGTAAAGCATAGTTTTGTACCATTAATGTGCTTATTCTGTACTCTCAATCGAGATTTCCGTCTTATCTATAATCCAGCTAAGATTCACTGGATTACGTGCTTCAAAAGTCATTTCTTCTTCTCGACACGTAGTATCAAGGTTTTTTGTTGGGCAGCATTGCTCATGTGGCATTGGATACTCAATATGGGCAGATTAGACACGGCAGATATACAACGATGATAGTATAATTCACTTGTCAGACTAAGAAATGACGGATCTCTGACGCCTTCTTCCGTGGTACAATGAAGGGTACTCCAAGGGTATTCATCATGTTCCCATCTACTCGAGCGCATACTTGCTCCACGGTGATCGTTATAGGCACATGGATGGTAGCTGATTATTGGCCATAAATGTCATTCTAATTCATCCAACAACATTTTATGGAGATTCTCAACTCCCCTCATGATCCCCACTTCCATTTCCCTACTTTGACTTCATGAACTGTAACTGAAGATATATTCCTGCTTGAGAAGCGGGGTCAGTAATCGTCTGAAGTCAATATGGTCATCTACATTGGTGCCAATTCACCCATCAAAATTTCGTTTAATTCACTCAAAGAAACCTTAGGAGCTTGCTCGAGTCTGATCTTTTCAAGATTTCCCCTCCTTTCTTTCCAGATTTTTCCTACACCCCCACGACATTCCTTTTAACCTACATTATTCTGGGTCCACCAGCTGCTTATCATGGTTAGTCTATCTTGCTAGAAGATACTCGACGTTGCATACCCAGGTATACTAACTAGTCTTTTTTTCTAAGATCTTAAACTTCTCAGTATGGTGCCTTGTTTTGAATACTGAAATCACAACCGTACAATAGTATCAGCAATATCCAAGTAAGCAGCTTCCTTTATTCAATACCACCTTAAGATACTGAGCTCCGCATTCTATCTATCTGAAGCTCTTGCTGACGTCGGTCAATATGTTTAGTCTTGTCATCTTAAGATTCGGTATCGATATTCTTCCCGAGACACTGTCCCAACTTCTTTTTCTACAACACACCGATCTTGAGCCCTCACTTATCAACCACATCAACTTCTAAAGTTTATTGTGAAGTGCTACTAGCGATCTAGATCTAAAAGTCCTAGCTGAAGCCTTCGAATCTTTACCAACGTTCAACATCCGCATAGTTTGTCAAACTTAGATCTACGCCGCAATCACTTTCACCTTTAAAACCCATTTGAGAACTATTGATGTTGAAAATGGAGCTAGACGACAGATGGGATCCTGATCCCTTGCCCAACAGCAACCCCAGAAATCAACCTCAACCTCGTTCTAAAGGGCAAGCAGTGCGTAATTCTCGGGCGCAACCTCAGTACTACCAACCCTCGCACAACTCTCATCCACAAGAGACAAATCGAAATGCACGCATGAATTCTTATGACAACCTCTCGGACGAGGACAGCTCATCTAATGGATACCCCGGCATTTTGCACCAACCACAGGCGAATCCAAAGAGAGCGAGAGGCCCCTCTCAAGTTGTGCCGGACAGACGTAAACGGCACCAGAGCGAGCATCCAAGTGGCCATGTTCGCAGTCGCACAACGGGGATGGACGAGGCCATGTTTGATCATAGTCCGGTGACACCGCAGTCTCGTAATAAGTCGGTGGCCCGCAGTGAAATTCGATATAAGGCTACGGAAGACAATCTTCGCTATGGATATCAAGATGTCGGGAACACTATACCAACCAGCAGAAAGTCTGTCGCGAGTAGCCATTCACGCACAAGGAACTTGAATCAGAACCAGGATTATATGGCAACTGATGATTACAACGAGGAAATTACTAGGGATCTCAGCTTGGTTGCATCTAATAATAACAATCCAGTAAGTAGGCGCATTAAAGGAGAAGCGGCCTACAGCTCTGTGCTATCTAGTACGTTCTCTCATGAATCTACTGGTCAAGGTCCTCAAAAATCTTCAAGGTTTAATCGCGAATCAGCCACGCCAAAGCCAAGGCAGCGTCTAGATAGTTCTCGTTCGCAAGATGTAGCAGCGAGAAGCATGTATGACGATGGTGGAATCTTCTACCCGGGAACCGAAAATAATATATGCAGTGCCAAAAGTCAGAGGCAGAGACAGAAGCCTCAGCTTGGCTCGCCACTATGGCCCAGTCATGAATCTTCTATCCAAAAGCCTTTACCTGCTCACAGACTGGAAGGAAACCTTGAAATGCCTACCTCGAGAAACTCAAATCCAAGCACGCCAAGACAAAAGTCAATGGGAAGGAGGCCAGTTGTGCCCAATGGAACCCAGATTGTTGCAGGTAAGCCCAGAACATACGATTATGGTTTCATTCCCGACGACGACGTCAATGACACACCATTGGAAAATGCTCTTCGGTCCAAGTCAAAAGCCCAGGTCAAACTCAATAGCAGTCCAATGAATATCTTGAAAGGTCTTCCAACACACAGCATATTTCAAAGAAACAACTCCCAGACCGCGAAACAGTCGTATGAGACTCCACCCAGGAACTCAAACAGAACCACCACTTCAGAAATTACCATCGATCTTGTGACGCCAGAAAGCACTGTCAGTGCTCGAGGCTCGATGCCGTTTTTACCTAAGAATTGGACTCCTACGATGAAACGTCCCGTCAAAGTATTGACCCCTCTCAAATACTCTATGCAAGATAGTCCTAGTGCTGGCAGACTGCAAAAACCCGAGGAGGATATTCGACAGAGACAAGCAGCTGAGAAGATCGTCCGACAAGAGCTAAACGCTGAACGTGAGGCTCTCCAAAAAGACCTATTTGGGGAAGTTGTTCGCGAGTCCGAGGAAGAAAAGCGTGAGCGTGAGGAGGCCAAACGTATTGAAGCTCAGAAGGCGCGAGAAGAAGAAGAGAAGCAACTTGCAATCGATGCTGAAGTCAAACGACGAAAGGCTGAAGCGAGGGCTCAAAAGGAGCGCGAGAAGAAGGCTGCGGAGCAACTTGAGAAGGGCAAGGAAGCAGCGGCAAGGAAGGCCAAGCGTGATGCTGAACGTCATCATCAGTCTATAAGAGAAGAACAGGCTGCCGTTGAGAGACGCAAAGCTGCAAAAAAGGTCCTTCAGGAGAAGAAAGAAAGAGAAATGGCTCTCCTTAGAGTCGTCGAAGAACAAAAACAGATTGCGGAGAAAGAGAGAAAGGAGCAAGCAGCCAAGTTTGATCAAATGGCTCGTTCTATGCAGAAGCTTGCTGCTCAGATTACGGTACAGACAGTTGCAGCATTGAAACCTGCAAGAAAATCCACCGCTGACAGTGGTACTGCAAAACCAACAGAGGCCCCAGTCCCTTTGACCACGCTTCCAACTAGTATGGAAGTTGATGACGAAGATTCTTTGTTCCTCCCAGAGACTGAAAAGGCGACTGTCGCAGCCTCTCCAGATCAACAAATGTCTCACGAACCTCAAATTCAAAACAGCAGCTCTGATGTGGACTCGACAACAGCCCAGTCTGTGGAGCAAGATCGAGCTCCTGCTAGTATAGCTGAGATTTTTGCCAATGCAATCTCCAAACCCAGTAGTGACAACGTTCTTGATGATAGAGAAGCAGAGCGTGAGGCTATTCGCAAAGAGAGGGCGGACGAGCGTGCCGCTGCACAACGAAAACAAGCAAAGTCTGCACTTGCAGAAGTGAGTCCAAAACCTCCTGCCCGTAAATCTACTCCTAGCGCGAACTCAAAAGCTCCATCGAAAGCTGTCCCGAAGAAAAAGGCTGCCCAGTCTTTGACAAAGTCACCTGGAGATTCTATATTTGGTTTCAAATTGAAGCCTCTACATGGACCCGATGCTTTTTTACCTTGCGAACAACCAGATAAATCTAGTATCGTCGCGGAGAAACCCAATGCAGACATCGCAGCCCCGAAATCACGTCCACTTCCGTTGCCTCCCCTACTACCTCCTACATATGCCACTACAACCTCAAATTCACACGAAACGCGCCTCATTTCACAAGAAGAACGTGATGAAATCGAAGCTGGTCGAGAAAGAATTCAGGCTGAGGCAAAGGCTCAGAAAGATGCTTTAGCCAAGCAACGAGCAGAAGCAAAAAAAGAAGAAGCTGAGAAGAAGCGGACAGTCGAATACCGTAAGAAGAAAGAGAAACAGCTGAGGGACCAGGCTCATAAAGACGGCAAAGTCTTCGGTGACTTTGAGCTTGAATCCATCATTGAAAAACTCATGGATAAGCGAGAAGTAGGACTCCCCACTGACCCTCCGTAATATTTTTTAGCTAATCAGCATGCTAGCGAGATAAAAAACGAAGAAATCAACGTCGTGCAGGAGAAAATGTTTCACTGAATGAACATGATGAGCCTATTTCTAATCCCAATCTACCCAATGTTTTCGGCACAACCAGCGCGCAAGCTTCATCTTCGGATACTGCTAGTGATTTCAATCATATGGACGAAGAAGAAGATCCCGAAACCCAGGCTCGGAAAGAACATGAAGCTAGAACAGCCGAAAGTTTGAAGGCATTGGCACAATCTCGTGCTGCTCGGCGTTCTCATGTATCACCAGTTGAGAAACTAGGACCGCTTTTCAGCGATGAATCCTCCGAATCTGAGGAGGATCCAGATGATGACGAAACGATGGAAGCCATGATTGCACATGCTCGAAAAAATAACCCTGCAAAACTCACCGAAGATGCTGATGAGTTACAACCTGGAGCTCCGACTGAGGAAGAGCTTGCTCTTGAAAGAGACTTAGAGGCAGCTTTCGAGGAAGAACTTATTATCGAGGATGAAGGAGAAGTCGAGGGGGCAACCGCTCAACTTAACCCCGATGACTATGGTACTCAAATTGTCGCTCCGATGCCTGATATGACTTCGTTCTTCCAAGGTTCATCCACCCAGCAGTCGTCTCATACTATGGGGAATCGATCGACACAGCGCGCAACACCTAGCCAAATAACTCAGCCAGCGCCTACCAAACCTCAGAAGCCGGCATCATATAAAATGGTCAACGTCTACATGGTGATGACACAGATAATCCTCCATGACCATGAAGATGAGGCAACTCTGAAGAAAAAGTTCCTTGATGTCGACAAGGCCAACAAGTTTGCGCAGACTCTCGTCAACGAATACAGGGCTAAAAAACATATGCAGCAAGAGATTGTGGAAAAATGGGACAAGGAGTACAAATATTCTTCCCAAATTACCCACGATAACCACAAAACTACAAAAGTTTTCATAAAAGCTGTGCCCATGAACCCACAAGAAATCGATAAATATGATCCTCGAGAAATACACCCCAAATTCGCGAACCAATACTACACAGTTCGATTTGAGAAGCAGACTGAGCAACGTGATCCGGAAACCAATGAAGTCCATATGACGCACTGCACTGTCGGATTTGCGGATGCCAGCAAGCTTTACACGGCGTTGGAAATGGCTAACCATGCTGCTGGCGAGTACCTCCTCCAGGAAACTAAACCCAAAGAGGAAGTTGAAGAGCATCATACTTCTTACGAAGAGGATCTTATCCCGCAAGTGAGGTCATTGCGAGATCAATGCGACAAAGAAGAGCAAATGTTTTGTTGCGAGTTGGAGAGCGATTCTCTTCCTTGGGCAGACTTCAAATCTTTGGAGGTTAGGGTGGAAATTTCCACTACTGAAGGTCCCATTAACTAAAGCAGAGGCAAGATTTGGGTACTTATGGTCAATTTGTTTTGCCATTACTTACTGGAACGATTATCACCGTCCGATTTATCACCACCACACCACTTTTTTATTCTCGCTATATCTCACTTATTGTGAATACATTTACACACATTTTCTAACACGCCATCTCCATTTCATCGTCACATACGTTTAACAAACACAATATCCACCATTTCCACCATATCTCAGCACATCCAAGACAGCAGCAAATTCAACCTACACTTTTCACATCAACATATATCTCTTATTACTCCAATGTATCAACACTCGCAATCGCAATCGCCTGATCTTCAAACACACTCTTCTCTACTATCATTATCTTAAAGTTGATCCACAAAAATACAAATATGCATACAGTCAGAACATACATTTTTCTGTTAGTTCAACCATTAGACGTTCGAGGGTAGTAATGACATGAACGACTCCTGGGGGACTCATCGATGGGTTATTTCTTGCTGTTTACGAATAGAACGGGCGTGGGATTTTGGTATCTTTTCCTTTTTACTTTTATACTTTCTTAGCGCGGAATGGGAATCTCGGCTATTCTTCTTTTTAGGGGGGGAGTTAGGAAGATAACGAGGTTTTAGGGTGGAGGTGGAGGGGATGGTGAAGAATGAGGGAGGAGTGGGGCGAGGGGGAACACAATGTATGGAGGAAATGCTGCGTGCAGGGAGGGAGGTCCATGAATGAGGGTGGAGGAACAAATGGACCACTTTTTTTCTTTATCTAGATAATTTTTTGACATCGTTGTTTTTAGCATAAAATTGATTATCACTGCCTGTTTCTCAAGGTGATAATTGTCGAATTCTTGGAATTTTATGACAGTGATCGAGTGACTACCATCGTGATAAGTAATGAGTAGTATTTTGAATTTGATATGACAATGATAGAGTGTGTGATGACAGGTAATAAACTTTTCTTCTGTTCAGGCTAGGTTACATATTTGAGATGATATCAAGAGGATAGCAATCAATCAGTAACAATGAAAGAAGTCTTTTACAATGATTATCTACAAAATTGTCTGTGGAAACATGTATGGTAGCTTAACCCTGGAACAAGGTGTTCCAACAAAGGTGGGAAGAAATCTTTGGAGTTAACCTAATTCTTTAGTGTAGATGATTATATTGAGAGTGTGCTACATTATTTCAGTTGGGCTGGAAACTTTTATGTTAGGGCTGTCTGGGGAGAAATGGTGAGAGTGGGTGAAGGATGCTCATATGTTGAGGCTCTTAGTGGATAGATTATCCCGTTTATGACGGGGAAAAGAAGGGAAGGGAAGTGGAAATAGCTGGGGTATTGATTTCCTTTCAATCATAGCCTCGTAACATTAGTCTACTACTGACTCTACTCGAGTTTTTCTCGCCCAGACTTCATATGTACATGGTATTTCCATTTAATGGCAGCAACAGTGATTGCATTTGAGTGATAATAAGTATCTCAACCATTAACTGTATATATCTTGAAGTAGAAATCATTCCGGAAGTAGATAATATGAGAGTGAGTGTTCATAGCCATGATCCGGATTCAAACTCGAAAGTGAGTTCAATAACACTATAACGATACCTCCAAACTCAACATGTGAGACAGATCGAGATACTTGTCCGTTGCTTGATTAAGCTCTGAACTCCTGCAAGAATTTGGCCTCTTTTGTAGCTAGCTGCGTATAACACATGCAGACAAGTCCGTCCCGCCCCCCCTTTTTCCCGTCTCCGCCCAAACAGGTGAATTATGTTATATATGAAGTAACCTCGAGAAAATGACTCGAGCAAGACTTTCTAAGATTTCCCAAAGTTGATATACAGTGCCAATACCCCATGCCAACCTGAGCGTATATATGAGGTACACGCAGGCAATAGCAGCACACATATTCTTAGAACGCTCGATATTTTTGACACTCAGGATAAGGTAAGGTAAAATTGTAGTCTTACATCTTTCGAAAGAACTGATCACGGCTTCTCTGCGCAGTATCATTGTGGAAATATTTCTCAACTGGATAATCTACCATGCATGAACTGTATCAAATGGGTTGTAGCGTAACACTGACGACAACAACTATGGTATCCGATACCGACAACAAATATAAATACTGATTGTGCCATCAAGTTGATTGAAGGAAAACTTTCCAGGTCTGGAGAAAACAGCGGAAATGACCACATGGGGACAAAGTAGATAGTGCAATGAAACAAAGTACAACGGTGATCATAGACAACGGCTTGAGATAGTCTGCTTGGATGATATTGTAGGATGCTGCATCCTACAACTGATCCCCAAATATACACATCATAGCCCCTTTTCAAAGTTAGCTGGAATATTAGCTACCGCATCCTAAAAGGATGGGGCGATATCCCTTCTCGAAAAACGTAGCTGATGGCGGGGATGGATTGAAGTAGAAGGTTTCACTGCCAGTTGCACATTGCAATACAGAAACATCTATGAATTTCCTTCATCAGAGTTCGTTTGGAATGTTTCCCCTCAATACTAGCCCGACAACCAAGTATTTCCTAACGCGGCTCATCTCTCCTCGCTATAACCATCCATCCCATCTTCCCAATGAAGCACATTAAGCAAAAGCTGAACACAATAAATTACACATCTCATTCATGACTTGGAGAAAATATCACACCCAAAGCGCCGCCTATCCACAATTTCCCACAATTCCCTACAGCACACATCAGAACTTATGGCATCTCTCTCAACACACCTATTTTGGAGCTTCCCCATCAACGAAGCTCAACGCATCCTCCTTCCCAACAACACCAATACCACTCGTCTTATTATGGAAAGTAACACCATAACATTTATTAGCCACCAACACCATCTCCGGTCTGAAAGTTGTACAGATAAATTGACCACCCATGACCTTTTGTTTCTTGGGCCTAGCCTCGCCATCTTCATCATTATCAGACTCCTCATCCGAGTTGTCCTGTGATTGAGAAACTTGCGATTGTCTAGTTGAGATTTCCTTGAGCATTTGAGCTACAGCGGTACGGTATTGGGCGTCGAGATTGGCGTCAATTTCGTCAAAGAGGTAGAAAGGAGCGGGGTCACATTGCTGGATGGCGAAAACAAGGGCGAGGGCACACAAACCTGGAAGATTAGTATATTGAATAAAAAGGCTGCGGAGATGGAAATGGCTTACTCTTTTGGCCACCAGATAATTGCTGAATACGTTGCTGATCATCGTGTTTACTATTAAAGCTGACACTGATTCCCACGCCAACGTAATTCTCAACACTATCACGTGCTTCTTCGTCCGATTCTTCTTCGTCTCTAGCACGTCGATCCGTTTTACGTTGAATAACGAGGCGACCACGACCAGCAGGAACAAGACGCTCAAAGATCTGCGCAAATTCTTTGGAAACTTGCTTGAATGTTCGCTCAATTGCTTCATCCTTACGCTGATCGAGGACCTCAACCAGTTCTTGAATTGATGACTGAGAATCATCGAGTTCTTTCCTTCGCTTAGTCAAGCTATCTCGCTGAGCTGTGAATTGATTGTATTGCTCGAAAGCTTTCTTGTTCACGTGCTTGTACTTCTTGAGGGCTTCCTGAACCTTCTTCAGGCGAGATTGAATCTAAACATGTTAGTATATGAGAAAAGTACATGAGCGAGACAGATTGCTTACAGATTTTGGGTCGTAATCCTTATACTTTTCAAATGCTTCATCAGGCAAGACACCCAAGTCGCGAATGTTCTTGGCACAATCCGCAGCACTGGTAGTAAGGATGGCCTTTCGAGCAATGCTCTTCTCCATCTTCTTCTGGTGCTTCTCAATCAATACAGCAACCTTCTGTTGTTCGTCCTCTTTTTGACTTTTCTCCTGTTCCAGATTGGCGATGTTGGATTCAGCCTCTTCCAGTTGTTGTTCATTTTCTTGGAGCTTCGTCTCCACAACATTAGACGCTTTGGTGATACGCTTCAATTCTCGTTGAGATTCTTTCAAATTACCAGAACCACTACCAGTAGCGAGATCAATTTCTTGACCATTCAATTGATCGAGCTTGAGTCTAAGGTTCTCACGGAGATCAACCTCGATCAACTGTTTGCGGCTCTCGAGCTCTCTTCGGTTCCTGCTATGTTCATTCCATTGCTTTTGTAAATCTTGGACGGAAGCATTGAGCTGCTCTAGTTGTCGTTCCTCATTGGCCGTCAATGCCTTTTTGAATTCGGACGCAATTTCTGCTTCGTACTCGGAAATTTTGTTATCATGATCCTGCAGCAACTTGATAACCTCTGCCTGATTCCGGATAAGTTTTTCATGTTGTGTCTTTTGTTTTTCAAGGTGCCATTGTTTTGATCTCAAATCGGACTTGAGAGGGTCCAAACTATCGGTGAGTTTGCGCAACTTCTGATCAAGCTTTTGTTGCTCGGTCAGAGCGGCTGTAATTTCTTGATCCTTTTGCTCCAACTCCTTTCTAATCTCGTCCTGACGCGCCTTCAAAGTTTCGTACTCATCCCGCCATTTATTCAGCGCACGTACAGCTTGAAGTCGCGATTCCTTTGGATTCAGATAACCACCAGTTAAAGCACCCTTTTTATTTGTGGTATCACCATCCGGTGTGATGGCATTACATCCATGACTTCTTGCATACTGAGCAGCGATTGTGAGGTTAGGGCAAACGATGGTCTTCCCAAAGACTTGATCGAAAGCCGGCTTGTACTTTTTGTCGTACCGTATCTTGCTTAACATCGGTATGGCATCGGATGCATTTGGTAAGTTGGCTGGCTTAGATCTGAGTTGGCTCAAAGGAACAAATGTAATTCTTCCGCCCTTGTCCGCATTCAAGGCATTAATAAGTTGGGTTGCGGTTTCTTCGTTGTCTACAATGTAGTTGAAGAGACTACTGCCAGCAGTCTGTTCCACTGCTACTCGATACAATTCTTCGACTTCGAGAAGTTCTGCGAGGGTGCCATATGCGCCTTGAATATTATGTTGCTGCTTGAGACGCCTAACAGTAGCTAAACCGCGAGACGTGGCACTATCCATAGTCCTAGACAACTCCGACTCGGCTATACTGACTTCTTTACGAGTATCTTCGATAACTGAGTGGAGCTTTTCATCCTCTCTCCGTAGCAGTTTTCTCTCATCCTGCAACTTTTCCAGGGCATCTTTGGCGGTGGAAACTTCTTCAGCCAATGCCAACCTATTGCCACTCCATCCGTCTAATCGCTGTTGGAGGCCAGATATTTCTGTTTCCAGATTTCGGATTTCCGATTGCACGTTCTTCACCTCTTCATCGCCGTCGATCCGATTAGCCTTTTGAGATCCGATCATAGAGTTCAGTTCCTCGATTTCCCTCGTCAAGAATTGATCACGTTCATTCTTGGTTTTGTATTGATTACTGCGAGCTTGTTTGGCGTAGAGTCTGCTTCTCCCACCTTCCGCATCATCGAGGTTTCGCTTAACTTCGGTCTCACTAGCTTTTCGGCTCGTAAATTCTGGAAGCAATTGTGCAAGTTCGGCCTCTTTTGAGGCTATTTCTTCCTTAACAGAACGCAGTTCCTGCTGATGCCTTACACGTGCTTGTTCCGTAGACGATTGGTTAGCTGTTAAAGTTTTGACATTTAATTCGATTTTGGCCCGAGCTTTCGCGGTGTCTCGTCTATCCTCCTCCAATTGTCGTCTGTCGACCCTCAAAAGCTCCATTTGTCGAGTCAATTGTTTTATTTGTGCATCGAGTTGGGCAATAGCTTTCTCTCCTTCCAAGAAAACGTCCCGATTTTCGTCACCATCGCCACCACCTTGTCGGAACTCATCAATTTCCTCCAACTTTTCGGCAATTGCGACTTGTTCCTGATGAAAGAAGGCATATTGTAGGCATCGGCGATCCTTGTCTTTCTCTTGGTATCCCCTCAATTCTTCCTTCTCCTCTTCCAATTCTGCTAGACGTTCCTTAATGTAGTCCAACAACTCATCAATCTTCGCTCGTTTATTGTTGGTATCTGTCATGATCTTCAAGGACTCGGTACGACGTTGCTCGTAGACTTGCGTTCCGGCCACTTCTTTCAACAAGTTCAATCTCTCGCCATCTTTCATATTTGTAAGAGCCGTGACACGTCCTTGGGGTACAATGTAATATGGATTTGACCGAGAAAATCCTGCGGTCTCTAGAAGATTCAGAACGTCCGTTTTCGTGGCATTTTTCTTGTCCAAAGAGTATTCATCCTTCTTCAATCCTATTGTTCGGCGAAGGTAAAGCTCGTTCTTGCCGGTAGGAAATCGTCCATCGGAATTATCGAAGATAATCTCAACATATGCAGACATGACGGCAGATCCGGAGCCTTCATGGAGTAAAGCCTGTCGCTCTTCGCGACCCATTTGAGTATATGCATCGCTGAGTACAAATCGAATGGCCGCAAAAAAGTTACTCTTTCCAGAACCATTCCGGCCAACGATTACGTTCGTTGCTGGGGAGAATTCGTCGATAAGTGTTTGATCCTTGTAGCTGTATATTTGTTAATATGTTTTATTTTCCAATGTACTTGTAAACGCACCTTTTAAAGCCCTGGATGTTGATCTGCTTAATGTAAACCATCGCGACCACTTGTCGCCAGCGGGGCAACGGCGATTCCTGCTGGTTATAAAGGGCGCGTCAAGTGAGGATAAGTTGTCACTGCTAAGTCTATACGATGTAGCAGAAATCCACCAGATGTAACTGTACAAAAGAATTCAATCCGTTTTTTAATGAGCTTGTCGCGTTAACTAGCTGAAGTTTAGTAAACGCGACGATCCTTAGCGCGGAAAAGTGACGTCTTACCGCCCGGCAGAAATTCTTCATGATAATTTCAATCAGTCCATTCTTCACCACCACTTTTAGAACGACTCGAGACGATATCCAGGACAATACATTCTGCGCTTTTAAAATATGGCAGATAGTACCGAGGCATCTACACCTGTCTCTGCTGTAGCAGCAGGACAAGATCCAACTCACACATATGTTCCAAATCAAGGATATACCCACCCTGCCACATCAGATGCCCCTCCAGTGACGCCAACTTCTGGCGAAAATACAGAATATGCTGCAGATAACGAAGACGATGCATACGATGATCTGTTCGATGAGGAAGATGATGGTTATGTTGACGATGTCGATTATGACCCATCCTCTGGTGATCTCACCAAATCCTATAACCGTCAACGCAAGCTCAATGACACCAGCACCACCGGCGCACCTCGAATAAATCCTCAGAGACCGGCTGCGAATACCAAGGCAAGTGTCGATGATCAGATCACTAGTTTGTCAAAACATGCTGCGAAGATTAGGTTGGATGGCTCATTTGATGGAGCTCATAAAACACACGGGAAGGATAAATCAGATCGTGCGACGAGTGAACAAGTTTTGGATCCTCGTACACGTATGATTTTGCTTCAGATGATCAATAGAGGTGTTGTTTCCGAAGTCAATGGATGTCTGAGTACGGGTAAGGAGGCCAATGTATATGGAGCTTTATCGATTCCTTCATCGGAAGCAGATTCGCAACCAATTCACCGGGCGATCAAAGTCTACAAAACTAGTATTTTGGTCTTCAAGGATCGTGATCGTTATGTTAGCGGTGAACACAGATTCCGATCTGGATACAATAAAGGAAACAACAGAGCCATGGTCAAAGTATGGGCCGAGAAAGAGTTCCGAAACTTAAAGCGTCTACATTTGGCTGGCATCCCTTGCCCAGAGCCAATCCACCTTCGTCTACATGTTCTTGTGATGGGATTCCTAGGTGACAAAAAGGGATGGGCAGCACCAAGACTCCAAGATGTGGATCTCTCCGGCGAAGATGTCGATGAGCAGTGGCGATTACTCTACCTACAACTCATCGGACTTATGCGAAGAATGTACCAGACATGCAAACTTGTCCACGCAGATTTGAGTGAGTACAACGTATTATACCATCAGAAAAAGCTTTTTATCATCGATGTATCTCAAAGTGTTGAGCACGATCATCCTCGCTCATTAGAGTTCCTCCGAATGGATATCAAGAACGTCTCGAATTTCTTCAAGCGCAAAAATGTTGAGGTCCTCTCCGAGCAAACTATTTACCAATTTATAACTTTCCACGATGGACCAACTCACGAACCAGGACTTAACGAAGCCCTTGAGAAGCTCATCATCGAAAGACCAGAAGAGGACGAAACCGAAGAGGCTGTCGCCAAACAACAAGTCGAAAATGAAGTCTTCCGTCAACAATACATACCACAAACTCTGGATCAAGTCTACGATTTCGAGCGCGATGCGGAAAAAGTAGGTAAAGGCGAAAGAGGCGATCTCGTATACCGAAATCTGCTGGCTGCTGATAAGATGCCTATGTCTTCGGGTAACGAGGCTGATGCAGAGGATACGATGGGCGATGGTACTAGCCAAGCCAGTGATGATGACGAGGAGGGCGACGAAGATGGAGAAGATGGAGACGATGACGATGATGAGAAGAGATTCGAGAAGGGTACACCAAGGGGAAAGAGATTTGAGGATAAGGATATTAAGAAGGTATGTATTCATTTTCGTTTTTGTTTTATCACCATTTTCCTTCTTCCACTTCCATCATGGAATGATGACCCAATTTCCATCCACAAAACATGACGTCCCTTATGGGACCTGATTACAAACTTTGAGAACTTTATGTCTGACCATCATTCATCACAACGCTCACTTTTCACGCATAATTCTCCATTTACAATCTCTAACACCCCTTCCCCTCACACTAGGACCACAAGAAAGCAGTCAAAGAAGAGAAACGAGAAAAGAGAAAAGACAAAATCCCCAAACATCTCAAGAAGAAACTCGTAAGTTCGACAGCAAAACATAAGCATTAAGCATCATAGCGGAAAATCAAAACGAACAAACAAATAAACTCTTGAACAAAACAAATCGCCAATCTGCGTGACTCCCATACTAAAGTACTGGTAAGTAACCATCAACCCATTTCTTACCTTCCTTCCCGAACAAACAATGAAAATATCCCCCTCCCCCAAACATACATACATACATACACACACCCGAATGAAGAAACAAAAATCGCTTCTCCCTCACCCATCACATCGGAGTAGTGTTTTGCCTTGGTTTACCTTGGTTTTACCTTGTTTTACCTAGGGATAACATAACCTCTTCCCTGTATGGGTAATCTACAAGGAGAAGCTGAGATACTTTTACTTCCAAAGCAAAAGATCTTAGATCTAGGGAAGTAGAAGATATGCTGATTAAAGAGAGCACTGACGGGTGTTTGTTTGTTTTGTTTGTTTGAGGGGGGGAGAGAGGGGTGGCAGGGGTTCTTTTCCTTTTTGGTCTTTGGTCTTTTGTTTGATGTGTATGTATGTGTATGTGTATGTGTATGTTTGAGAAAGATATCGCAGTGTGAGGAGATAGATGGATGGATGGATGGATGGATATGTGAGGGGCGAGAAATTCTTAAAGGGGGTTTGGTTGTTAGGCTTGAGCTTCGATGCGGATTTGAATTGAATAGGACTGGCGTTCAAGTAGAGATGAGATGAAATGAGATGTGCTTTCTGTGTATATGCATGTATTGTATTTATTCATTTATTCGCTGTACCCTGCCTGTTGCTTACTATCTATCTAAACTTGTGATTTTACACATACAAAAATCCTGGAAAAGGCCGTGGCCATGTGAACAAACTCCCTATGAAACGAAACGCAAACCATGGTTCACTATGAGATCATCCATCTATCCCTATTACATCCACAATCCATCCCTCCATGCATCCGTGCATTTAACCATCACACACATAACATCGTATCGTATCTTCGTCCCAATATTTGCATGACCACTTCCCTACCCTACCCTACCCTATTGCCTTCCTTCCATCCTGAATCCATTCATACAAGCATCGCCCATCCATCCCGTGAGTCAGTCCATCACTTCCCAATTGCATCTACTCCCGTCTATACCCACCATTTCTCTTCTTCCTCCTATCCTCCGTGTAATCCGTCTCATTCCCACCCCCCCTCTCACTACTCAATCCTGGAATAAAACAAGGATAGCTTTTATGCCCAGTATCAGCACCAACTTCGCTGTCTTCCCTCACACTGCTCAACTCGCTTCCTCCAACACTAGACTCGGCGGTTGTATAAGCAGGTGGAGCTAAATGTGATTGACTTCTGCTTTGTTTTCTGGCCTCACGTCTGGCGCGTCTCTCTTCTCGATCGCGTCTCTCCTGTTCTCTGGCTGCGGATGCGTCACGAGCTGATATGAGAGAGGATCCCGCTGCGGAGCTATTGTCGTCTCCAACGCGGAAACTGAAATCTCTTTTTTGAGCGGCTCGTCCTTTGTCTTGGAGCTTCTTGGCCTCCGCTTTTATTCTTTCGTCGTCCGCTACGGTTGAATCGGCCTCGCTCTGTCTTGAACTTTTCTTGGTGGTGCCCTGTTTATTCCAGGAAGTCGAGCTTCCACCGTTATCACTTCTATCACCTTTATCCTTCGACGAAGCCCGCGGCCCTTGAACCGTACCGATAACCTTTCGAATCTTGTAGTGATCTTTGTTGTCGCTCTTCTTGGGCTTCTTTGGCTTCTCGGGGCTAGTCTCGGGACTTCTCTCGGGACTTCTCTCGCGGTTTTGCATAAGTCCATCGGAGACAGTGGATCCTTCAGTGTTGGTAGATCCTTCCCACACACTGGATTCGCTTTCTCTGTTCATGCCTCCAACTCTGGCTGGTTTCTCATGTCGGTATGCTCGAAGGTCTGCAACATCATCGCCGATTTCCGATTCCGGTACCTCGCCTAAGTCTCCACCACGGAGTCTGCTCTTCTTGTTTTTCTTTTCCTTTCTGGGGTAATTGACCTCGCTCATATCGCTGTAAGTGACCTCACTCTGTGTGCCAACCGAGCTCTCTTCCTCATTATAGTCCTTATATCTCGTGTCCTTGTATTTCTCCATACCACTTCCACCCTTCTTACTTTTCTTGTTCTTCCGTCCCCATGTACTCCTCTTCTTTTCTCCATGTACTACACTGCCACCTCCAAGATCCGTAGCCTCTGAAGCTCCAGAGAGAGTTGTACCATTGGGACCTCTGCGTCTCAAGACTGTAGATTTGTAATCATCCCAATCATTTTCATGAAAGATGAATCCACCATTCTTGGCGATGAAGAAGAACCATATACCAGTTATAACAAAAGCAGCACCAATAAGTCCGATAACTACGAAGACGAACTTATTAGGAACGGTATCAAAAGGCGTTACACCTTTTGAGGGATCGACCGTGCCGATTACATCTCGTGCGGTGAGAGTTTTCGTAATGAGATTGGGTGTAGAGGGGACGACGTCGAGGGATGAAGATGGAGACGCGATGGAGGCACGTTTGAGAAGAGAGGAGGTGTATGAGGTGATAACAGGCATGATTGATTACTTTTCGTAGAGATTATCGCCAATTGGGTTGGTTTCGATGATGGAGTTGCGTTTACTTCGACATCTAACTAAGTGTGCAGCCTCGTACCATCAGTGGATGGATGGATGGTAAAAGGTTACCGTGAATGGTATATTGGACAATCGAGCCTGAATTCTTGATAAGATTTTGCAAATTGATTGATAACAAGTAGTAATAGTATGAAGACTAAATCGAGCAAGACTTTTGTGTTGTGTAATGTGTTGAAGTGCCAACTCATATTCCTTGAAAAGAATGGCTGGGGAAAAAGTGGGAGGCTGGTTTATCATTTGTTTACAGAGCAACCAGGCAACCAGGCCACAACAGATTCTCAATTTCTTGGCCTTGCTAGATCAATACATCCATATTGATCTTGGCCGCATATGCACAAATCAATGGATGAATGAAGTAATGTTTATATTATAGCTGATGATAATGAGTTCTTGATAGATAGTTCTAAGAGAGAGCTGTCGCCTTTGAAGATATCACAGGATGTTCAATTTGATCTATGGACCACGAAATCAATCCAAGATCTTCAATCTCGATTTGAAAATTGACATCTACAAGCAAATAGTGGACTCTTAATAGTTGCAGTCCCCTCAGAAACTTTAAACTAGTGTGGTTTATGGAAAGGTATTGCCTCGATTTCTTTTCTCTATGAAAGTTCATGAAAGAGTTATAGACACAATGAATACAATGAATATAGGTCTCCCACAATGGCTTTTATCTGTCAAAAAGTTCATTTCAATGACCGAAAATAGTATGACTTACCAGTGATTTAGGCTCCAGCTGCAGCCACCCGCTCAAGATTGATTCAACCAAAATATCTGATAGCGAGAAAGGGTGTCTTGCATGATTTGCTCGGCAGCCTTTCCTGATTTTGAGATGGTTTGATGTCCAATCAAACATTTGATCCCGATATTCCTAGGCCTAAGACCTTTGTGTTACACAAACTCCATAGAATTTCCAGAATCCGAACCATCTATCCATTCCTTTCCTTTGTGACCGTCTCTAATACACTTCATATCATTGTATATCTGCTTCACGATGAATCTTGTGTCATCCACATCAACAAATTCCAAAGAGGTCATCGTACATTTGATGCGTCATGAACAGGTCAGTCTTTTCTACCTTCCAAAGACCGCGTCAGAATAAGATCAAAGCTAAGCAAGCTCTATTAGGCACGGCACAAGGCTAGCTATATGCTTAGAGAAGATGGTCGTTCCATACGCGACCCAGATTTGACTATAAACGGCCGTGTAGACTGCCGCCACTTCTCGCAAGATATCTGTTGGCTTAGCCAATATATCTCTCACATTTGGTGTTCGCCGATGAAAAGAACTATCAATACTGCACTTTTGTCATTCGGAGATGCCATCGATAGAGGTGTGAAAGTTCAAACTATTGATGTGCTCCAAAATTGGGATTCTTCTCCGAACGGAATAGGCATGGACAAGAAAGACCTCCAGGAACACTTTGGTGGAAAAGTAAATTTTGATAAAGTTGAGGAGGGGTGGAATCAGAAATCTTCCGGGAGGTGGGCTCGGGAAAATATGCAGTGGAGAATTCCGGCTTTAGAACTGGCGCTCAGAGATTTACGATCGGTCACCGACAGGGTCGAAGTTGTTATAGTCAGTCATGGAAGTGTTCTCAACACTCTACTTGATCTTGATAGTACGTTCCATGTCCAATTACTTCAAAGATGAAGGACTAATAATATCGGAAATAAAGGTCGTTGGAAAAGTGGAAAAATTCGCAGCTATTTAATCGACGACGGAGAATCCTATCAGCGTTTGGATAAGAATGCTCTCAAAAACTACAGAAGATTGCATGTCACAGATGAGCTCACAAAATGGACCTCAAACCAGGACCTCTCTCTCAAACTGGGACAGTCAAAATTCGCGGCAATGTTGAATTCCGAAGTATGTAAGCATTCGGGAACTATGACGATAAAAATAAAACGTCTCAACAAGGCCATTACAGAAGGCACTTCAATGAATGCCAAGGGAAAGATACTAGAAACCGTGAAGCAAAACGAGACTAGTTCACATGCACTGATAAAGCTTTTCCAGGAAGAAATACCGGCGGCCGAAGCCAAAGGGGGATGTGCGCAAGAAATTGAAGCAAGAGTCACGAATGCATCGGAATTCACACTGAGGACGCCCTTGAAGATTGATATAATACTATCAATATCGTGGACAGATTACCCTATGGCTCGGATGCTATTGATGAAGGAACAGATGCGGGTGAAGATGATGATCGAAAGGCTAATGAATGAGAACTCAAAGCAAGCATTGGATAATAATAATGCAAAGGGATGGGTTGTTGTGGTCGCTGTGTAACTATTTCTGAAGCTTAAATTAGAATATAGGACTCGGATGCTATTGACGAAGGAATATATGTGGGTGAAGATGATGATCGAAAGGCTAATCAATGAGAACTTAAAGCAAGCATTGGATAATAATAGTGCAAAGGGATGGGCTGTTGTAGTTGCTATGTAACTATTTCTGAAGCTTATTTTAGAATATAGGACTCGTCTATACGCCCCAGAAATTCGAGGTACTGATGTTAACAATGCAAACCTTGCTGGTGCCGTTGGTATCGATCTTTTGCATCGCTTTTTATACTATTATACAGTACTCCTCACCAATATAAATACATAATAAAATCCAAAGTTAGCCTTTATAATCTAGGGGACAGGTGAAATTGTAGAAAAATAAGAAACCTTTTATTTATATGCCAGCCTCTATCTCTCATATCTTCCTCTTCCTACACACACACATTTATATCTAATAATAAAGGTATACATGATCACTCCCCAGCCTGAGTCTCTTTCTCGCTAGATCAATTCTATTTCTCTTCTTAGTATATACTCGAGTACTATCAAAATCATATCATATATTCCACAAATCTCCAAAGCAGATAGCAGATAGCAGATAGCAGACAATATAGTAAGATCTTACTCACATTATACTCCTATAACACAAGATTTCAAAAGATAACAAACACCATACTTCGTCATGAGCCCATTTACACTATACCGTACCTACACCTCATCTCATCTCATCTCATCTCATCTCCGAATTTCACCTAAGAAGCGCATAGGATTCGCTCTAGGGATATCAATCATTGCTGAGTTGAGTGATCATTTGAAGGTTTACGATTTTGGCTGTGGTACGCCGAGTTGGAATAGTTTGTCAGGCGAGAAGGGAGGAGAGTATATGGGGAGATATAATAGGATAGATGTAAAAGTTGTAACTTAGGGACGAGGTATTTTTGGTTTGTGATTATAATGCTGCTTTGTGTATTGTGTATTGTGTATTGTGTATTGTGTATCAACTATTACTACTCGTAGCAGGTAATAAATATATTGGGTCGGTCGATCAAAAGATTCTCACTGATGTTTATAGTATAATTAGGTGCTAGGATGCAAGAAACTCCCGAGTTGGATTGATATTACTAGAGTACTACTGTACACATAGAAATCATAATCCAATTCAAGCTCAAAATACTCCACGATATATTTCATCATTATTATTATTCAAATAAATCACTTCTATTATAACTTTAACTGTAACTGTAACAGGGATATTCAAGTTAATCTATTCATCAAGAAATAATCTCATCTGATATACTCGAGTACACCTACACATATTCTTTCACGCAAACTCACACACACACTAGCAATCTTTCCATTCACCTCTCACTAGAGATAATCATCTCATCGTTTCAAATACACTTACCTTACCTTACACAATACTGTCTATGTCTATCTGTCTGTCTGTCTGTCTTCTCAAAACCCGGGATGAGTAAGTATTATATTATAGACTATCTATCCATCTCAAGTCCAAGTCCAACTATTCACTCATACATACAACTTGAAGTACACTACAAGTTATACTATTAATATTCACCTCACCTCACCCACCCCATCCATCATATTCGCCACCCCCTGATTCCTCGCTAAAAGTTTCTTTGTTGCTAGTTCATACTCGAGTATATCTTTACAATTAATTAATTATATTCAAGTTGTAGGCTCCGCACTTTTAGATAGATACCTCCGCCGGCGAGTCGGGATATCATGGGTGGTCCATTCTGATCTGAGTATTCATATCATGATCCCGTCTGACATGTCGTATTTTCTATCCTATCTCTTAATTATATATAGTACTAAAATTCTCGCTTGAAGTTCAAGTTGTATATCTACTAACTATCTATTACTGTATTGACTTCTAAAGGTTTAGATGAGTATTACATTACTCGAGTACTAGTGTGCATTTTTGAATAATTCTGAGTCTAAATGCCAGTGTAGGATATCATGATTGCTTAAGTTATCATATCATCTTATTCCCTACCTTTCCCCCCCTTTAAGTTACCTCAAGAAGAAGAAGAAAAAGACATAACACAACTAGAAAAAAAATACAATATTATTGATAACCTTATTACTAGAGTAATATAATAGTAACTTCTATACCATCACATCCCATCTCCTTTTCCATCCACATCCACATCCACATCCACTTCCACTTCCACAACTATATCCCCTATCATGATGTCTATCCTCCTTCCCATTCAAGTTCCCATCTCCATCCCCCCTCTCATCTCCATCTCCATCTCCATCTCTATCCATTCCATATCCACAACCACATTCCCTATTTCCGTTTCCATCTCCATCTCTATTCCCCTTCTATTCCCCCTCCGAGTCTCATCCTCCCTATCATCCATATCCATATCCATATCCATATCTACCGGCACACCCACTGGCACCCATATTATCCCATCCAAACCAAACCAAACCAAAAACCTATCAAACTACCATGAGCCTGAGCGTCCATACAAGGGTTCAAGTTCAATTTAACCGGATACATCATACATACTCAACAGGACTACGAACGAGTAATCACTGCAATCATGATGATTACTCGTAGTTAAGAATATATATCCAATCCGATCCAATTCAAATTAATATCATATCAAATCAAATCTGCAAAATAAAAATAAATCATCGATATACTCAGTATGAGTATAATCAAAACAATTTAATAACATAATCACATCCGCATTTTAGATATCCCTCTTTCACTAGCAAATCCAGAATGCTATCTATCTATAATCCTACTTACTATCTATCTATCTATATGTTACTACTAGTACAATTCTCACTTTACTCTTTATTCAAATACATAGACTATAATACTAGTTCAAGTTCAAGTTCCCTGTAGGTAAGAGTCGTTAGTTATCATGATATGATGCTCCATTGTTTTTTGAGCGATGATTAGACTACTAGTAAGAAAAGAATGCTACTTACTTACTTACTTACTTACCTCAACTTACCATACCATACCTTACCATACCTTACTTACTTACCTTACCTCACCTCACCATACCATACCTTATATCACCAAGATTGCATTTCCGATTTCACCTACCCTACCCTATCCTACCTACCCTACCTATCCTATCCTACTCTATTACAGTGCTATACTATACTACAAATATACATGATTCCGCATGTATCAATACCAGTACCAATACCAATACCAGCATTTAAATTGAATGGATATCCATCCGCGAGTCTGAAAATAACCTATTATCTCATCTATCATCTTATAAATATAATATAATATATACAACTCATCTCATCCCTACAGTATCACAGTATCACAGTATCTTATCTCTCAATATCTCATCTCTCAATATCTCCCCTTTCAATATCGCATCGCATCACACCACATCGCATCGTATTGCATAGCATCTGGAAGGACTTCAGTTGACTTCAACTTCTTTTTGTTCTTACAATAAACTAATAAAGGTATTTTATAAGTTATTATCAGTTCACTTCACATTACATCACATCACTTCGTTATTATTCTATATACTCAGTACTACTACTATACTACTAGTATTTGATACACAGTGACTAGAGTACAAAATATAAAATATAAAGGGGGTATCATATTTAACTACCTAGTAACTATCCTAAAGCTATCCTAAACCCATGACACTAAACCCATCACAACAATCATCATCCATCATCCATCATTCCCAAAATTTTCGATCCCAACCATCACAATCTTATAGATCTGAAACCCCATTTTGATAGTACCTCCTAGCCCAAAGTCCCTCGCTCACATTAAAGCAAACCCGATCCTTCCAACCCTATCCTTCCAACCATTTTCCTTTCCTTTCCTTTCCATCCGTTCCATACTTTTCGTATATCATACCAGATCATGTACCAACCATGTACGTCCAACTCTTTAAAAACGTTTCCGTCGATATTCATATCTTACATGCTGCCATTGCTAGCAAATGTACATGCATCTGTCTTTCATCCAAATCCCAATCCCAATCCTAATCATATCAAAAATAATCGCCAAAAAATAATCGCCAAATAGAAGGTAAGATAATTGAAAAGATTATTCATAATCATAACCATAACTCGTACAATCATAATATCGAGACATGCCCATTTCCGCCACAAGGAAAAAAACTATCATAGAGAAATGCGCTCAAAGTGCTTTTGGGGTATAAACTTTTTCCGCTTTTCTTACAATCAAAGAAGAGGATAAAGTAGCAACCACCTAACAACGTGCACAGAGAAAATTGTAAAAATGGGGAATCCAAAGAAATGATATGAAAACAATCGCCTTAAATCATAATGTCGCTAAATCGAAATTCAAAGAAATAAATTGCTCGTAGAAATGAAATACGATCCGTGAAATTAAAGCCAAGTTGAATTAGTTGATGTCTCCCAATTGGCAGTACGAGCTTCATAATCCTCGCGGCGTTCACGAGGTGCTCGGTCCCGCTCTTGAGGTCGAGATGAGACTCGGGTGAAAGAATGTTGTGACCTCATGCGAGATCGGGTCGATTGACTATCGCTTCGGTCATGTCGGCTTCGGCGATCACGATCATCAAGTAATTTAGGTCCAGGTCCGGGTCCGTGTCGGTGTCCATATTCTGATGCGGTAGGTTGACTTCCGTCGCGAATCTTTTCGGTGCGGTGAATTTGAATTTTTCCTCCTTCGCATTGAATCTCAGCTCCACCAACTGTGACCTTAGCCTGTCCAGTGACCTCAATGGTTACGTTGTCGTCACCACTACTTCGAGTCGTACGAGTAGTTTGTGTGCCTCGGTAATCACTCAAGTCACGACTTCCACTGCTCTTTGTACTTCTGCTGCTACCTCCAGCCTGTCTTCGTTGTTCTTTTCTCAAAGCCTCGGCAGTTAGTGGTATAGTTGGACCACTAACCTCCTCGAGATAATCAGCTGCCGCAGAAAGCTTTGCGTCATAGCCACTTGATCCTGATGTAGATGCTTGTGTAGATGAAGCAGATTGTCCATAGTAGCTTTGACTGCGCATATCTTTGCTAGCTGTTTCAATTCTGAATCGCTCTGCTTCTCTAGGTAGTTCGCTCACATCATATGAAACCGAGTTGCGATGAGCACTTGGTCGACGATGGCGTGAAGTTGGACGAGGGGGTTCTTCATGGTATTCTTCGACGCTGTATTGGGAAGCGTTATCGTCGTATACTGGCAGATCGACTGTTGGTCGCCGTAGGATAGGTTTGGGTAAAGGTAGAGGTGGTGGCGGCATGGCCTGAGAGTCTCTCCTGGTTCTGCTCTTGCTCTTGCTGCTCTTGCTCTTGCTCTTGCTCTTGCTCTTGCTCTTATTGTACCCGCTTTCCACTTCACTGTAATTGCTTTCGCGACTGTATGTGCTGTTGGCCTTGCTGAAGTTACTCTCTGAGACGGCGGAGCTGTTTGTCCTTGAAGGAATGGTTGACGGCACTCGTATGCTGCTAGTAATAGTTCTCCTGATTGGTTCTTCAACAGAAGATTCGTAGCTATCGTATTCGTCTTCGCTGTGCTGATACTCTCGCTCATAGCCACCTGTGATCATTCTTGGTGTTTGAGCTGGTTCGTCCCGAATGCCATATCTAGAAACTTTTTGTTGAGGTTCAAATCGGGCGGAAAGAGAGCGCGATGAAGGTTGAGCTTCCAGTGGTTGAAAGTGGGTAGGGGTTTGAGGAGGATGGACGACAGCATAATCATTGAATGCTGGTGAAGGGGGTGGGGCTTGAAATTGCGCCGAGTGATGCGGCGACAGATGCGCAGGTTGGAAGTACGCAGAGCTGGACAGTGGAGGATAAGCAGCAGATGCTGACGCGGAAGCAGCGTGGTAACTTGAAGGTCGTGCGCCAGCGTATGTTGGAGCATGGGTTGATGCACGAGGTCTCATGGGGATAGGCGTGGTATGTGGTTGATTAATGACAGGAGGGTGAGGATGTCGGGAAGAAGCTGGTGTTGAAACTCCATAATGTTCTGGCTTCATCTCTGTCTTGACGCTGAGAGATCTTCGATGCTCCTTGTTCTTAAGTGTTTGTGGTGGTCGTGACTCAGCTGAAATGGAAGGTCGCTTTTGGCTCACAGATGGCCTTCGTGATTTTTTGCTTTCCTTGGTGAATTCGACATCTTGTATCGCATCGGGCGAGGATATTTCGGAACCTGTAGGAATTGCTCCTGTCGAGTATCCCGAGTCGCTGTTTGGCTTCGAAGCTTTGCTTGATGTGCGATCGCGAGTAGTAATCTTGGGACGCTCCTTAGTCTTGGCCTTCTCCTTGGAGGGAGGCTTAACGCTTGCGCTTCGTCTGGTACTTTGCAAAACTCTGCCAGTCTCTTCGTCTTCCTCTTCGCAATACATGGCACGTGGACCACCCATTGTTAAATTGATGCGACGACAATGAAGGTCGTCAACAACAAAATATGTATTGATGCCAATCCACAGCACAGGGTGCGCAGGAAAGTTGTTGAGTGTGAGTGTGAGTGGAAAACGATGGCCTTGACGCTCCTACTTAAGTGATAGTAATTGATGTCGCACAAAAGTAGTGTTATGTTGTGTTATTGTGTGTATGTGTGTGTGTGTGTGTGTGTGTGTGTGTGTGTGTGTGTGTGTGTGTGTGTGTGTGTGTGTGAGTTGTGTGTGTTGTGAAGCTTGGGTTGACGGGGTGTATTGGAAGAAAGTATGGTGTGAGTGATGAGATAAGTGAAGGATGGATGATTAAAAATAAAAAAGTAATAAAAATATGGGGGAGTCTGAGCTCTTTCTACCTAGGAAATAGCGAAGAACACCAATGATTGGATGATCGATTGGTTGGATGAGCGACGCAATTCCGCAGTAGTGTAAGTTAAGGTAGTACTGTGACTGTGAGAGAAAAGCTGAGACCTTGAGTAACGGTGAAATGTTTTCTTTTTTGGTTTCTTTCTTTTGATTTTCTTCCTTCGCTGGATCGCTGGATCGTGATTGATACAAGTACGGAGTAGTTGTGGTTGGTGCTGATTAGGTCCGTAGGGTTTATCGATAGTGAATACGAGTATAAGGAGTAGTTCGATTGAGTTGCCTAGGATTAAATGTCGATGCGATGCGATATGGATCAGCAATCCCGCATTGAAAGGGAAGAACCACAAGGGAGGGGAAATGTATGTGGATGTGGATGTGTGATGTGTGTGGGTAAAGGATGTATGTTATCGACAAGAAATCGGTGATATGATATGATGGGATCTTGTGAATGCTATGGGTATGATACACGGTACAAGGTACGAAGTGCACAGAACTCCTCAGACCTGGTTCAAACTGCTGCTGTTGAAGTATGGGATAAAGGAAGAAGCAGAAGAAGAAGAAGAAGAAATTAAGTACACCAGGGAACAAATTGTACTTGAATTTTTCTGTTTTCTCTTTCTTTCTCTTTCTTTGCAGAAAAGTTAATCCTAATCCTGGGTAACGGGAATTTCCAAATTGGAAACAATGATGGGAAATCCTTCCAAATAAAATCCTTGTCCGGTTTATGGGCTTGTATTTCCTGTCCTTGGGTAGGGTATAGATACCGGTAGATGAATGAGAAGGTTGAAGTTTCGATGTATATCAAGGGGTCTTGATCTGGGTCTGGGTCCGTATGGGTGGGTAGGTATCCTAATCTCCTGGGGTTTCCAAAATTATTCCTGTGGGTGGCCTTTGGAGTTGCGATGGATGGTTCTGTCTACCTAGGTACTCACTATGGACTTGGTCAATAAATTGGTCTTGCTCTTGTAGCTTTGTACTTTTTTTTTAGAAATCCATAACATACGAGCATGGTCTTGTTTCCCTTCCTGTAGGTTAAATTTTCCGTAACAGGGGGGAAAAATCAAGGAGAAAGAAAAAAGGTTTCTCGGTCGTTTCGTAGTGTTGTTCGTTTTGTCCCTTCAGCCTAATATTATTAATTGTCGTAATACAAGATTCAGGAGCTCATTGGGTATCAATATGTATATGTGATAAGTGGAGTTGGGATGTGAATACAAAATTCCCGTTGCATAGTAGTTAGAAAAGACTAGGGGGGGAAGGTTCAAAATAATGGTAGTTGGTGTAGTTTGTATGTAAGTATGACTCCTTGTTAAATTAAGAAGTTCTATTTTTGAGCTGAAAAGAGTTGGATGCAACGTGAGAATGGTAAAGTATGTAAGATGGATGAAAAGTAAGAAGAGTAAGAAGAGAATGTATGGGTGATGAATGGTGATGTTTTTAATAGTGTTGGCAAAGAATGAAGGAAAAGGAACGAATAAATGGATTAATTTTAATTTTAGGATGGAATGGGAGGATGAAAAGTATGAAGGTAATCTGTGACTGGTTGTCTAATTCAGGCCGAGTAGAAAACTTGCGAGGTATGAAGGGATTTGTGAATGAAGAATGGAATTCTAGAAGTTTATTTGCGGGGATAACTTAATTTTTGATGCGCCTCCTTCATCCACTTCGCTTCAATCGCCCTCCCTTTTCCAATAAGCCCAGATAAGTTATTTTAACAATTTTAACAAAGCGGCAAATGCTACTCGTCTCCCTTATGATTTGTTACAGATACGGAACATTGTTTTGTTAAAACTGTACTCGAGTACATGGTTTCGAAGTCTCACTGACGACGGCAATGCTTCAAAGTTATGGTTGTCTGGTTATCTGATACACCTACCTTCCTTCACATTACTTCATATCCATGATTCGTCATACAAGAAAACAGTTGGCTGCGGCTTTTAAAATCGATCTCCCAGACGATGAAATTAGAAAAATTGATGCACTGCACCAAATGCACGATGTACTGTAGGTACCTAAGCCCCATATCGCCAGACCCGTCCACTCATCTACTTTTACAATACTTCTGTACATAACACCAACCGATTATTTGCTCACACGCCGGACTACTCGCATATACTCTAAAGTAGTATATGCAGCAGCACGTCGACACGATACCTAGGTACTATGTACTAGCTTGAAGAAGTTCAAAGGAGATATACTCGATAGATTAATATGACTTAGAAGTTAGATGACCAAAACGATGACTTGTCAGTATCAACAATGAATAAAAAATATTAAGAATTTTCAATTAGTTTGCTTTGGCTTGGCTTGAAACAAGGAAACGAGGAAACAAACAAACCAGCCACTCTACAACAAGACGCCATTCCAAGCCATCTTTCATGCATTGAAAAGTCGATATCAACAACACCAATGGCATAAATGTCAATCACATTCATTGGCTCATTTTTCCTGTTGTGCAAGCAACCGAATCCTTTTGGCTCTCTTCTATGACTATTTTCTAGCAACTCAGCTCAATCGGTCGGGCAACCATATTTATAATCTTATTATATTCCCCTTTTAGAAATATGCCCTTGCGATTGCCCAGCAACGTATATGCATTGATTATTTCGACTGACAAACACCAGTTGACGAGTTTTAAATCAATCATTTTCGTTGCGACAGAATCATCGGATCTCATCATCACCATTGGTAACCAACAATCCCCAGGCAACGCATCGCAGCGCAGCGTATTAATAATACAGTAAGTATCCTGCAAGTCATATATTCTCAACCAACGATTGGCAGTCCTCTTTACCAATCTTCCAGGACTTTTGACAAACTTCTGTGACGCGGCTTTTTCTTACTGCTGCCTCTTCCAAATATCATTCCTGATGACTCTTCAGACATTTTTTCGAAGGATTTTCATTCTCAAAGCCGAAGTAAGGATTCACCAATGAGAATGACTTTTAATGGTTCACTATTATGCGTTATATGCATTGAATTCAAAAGTCTCCATACACAGTACTCGATGGTTCGGCACTACTGTAGTCTACTGCAAAAGGGATGCCTCCACCCTCGCCTAGTTCTCATCCTTTTCGGACACCTTTTCCGACCGAGGGGAGAGGATACAAACAAAATCACCTTGTATCCCATGTACGAAACCGAGAAATCTGACAGGTAACACCCGCTGTCGTACTCGATACATATATTGTATCCAAGTACCCAACTACCGATTCGAGTCAGAGGAGACATACAAGCTGCGATGGAAACTTTTCTCCTATTGCAAGGGTGTTTGATGAAAGCGAGAAAAAAGGCAAACAGAACCAGAAGTGCTACCAAGTGATAGCATTTCCAAACCATATCTACCAGGTATCTTATCTCTACAGTCAATCCTTTATTGTCCTCAACTTCCAAGTTTAGTACTAGTATTTGCTATATTTTTTTTCCTGCGCTACTTATGTACAAGGCTGAGACTTGTTACCCCTCTTCCATGCTATCTGCTCTCTTCATCAATATCACAAGACAATGTTATACCTCCGTCCTTACATGAACGATCATCCTTAAAACTGCAATCAAGCATCGGACATATATCTAAATAGGTCAATATTTACATAGATTCTTTTTCGAGGAGGGAGTCAAACAAAACATCTTATCAGATTTGACAATCTAGTAAAAGTTCAAGCCTCAGCATTTCATTCCATTGAATGAATGATATTTCACCTCACCTCACCTCATCCTACCCCACCACACCTTCTATTTAACCCTAACCTAACCTCACCGCTTCTTTACAATACCCGTTCGTCTCGCACTTTGCGATAATAGTTTACTTCAAGCCACAACGACGTTTTATTTCTACGAATCCCTTGAATTGCTGTACTTTTACTTTCTCGATATCATGTGTGTCCCATCGGTTTTTATGATTCAACCATTTTGATGGAAGGACTTCAACGCCGTAGACCTGCACCCAACCATACTTCGAGTCACCTCATCATATATCATTTTATCAAACTTCTGAAAGTCCTATTTGGGAAAGGAATACATACCGGTACTTTCTGCCTACAGATGAACAGATAAGTATCTCCCCACAATTCTGACTCAAAAAACAGTCACTCGTCCCAAGAAATCTTCATCTACTGTTACACTGAAACTTCATCCCCATTCCCAACTTCCAAATTCATTCATCTGACCATTTTCACAAGCCTTTTAGAAAGCGCAAGAAGGATATGGAAACTAGGAAAGGAATATCAGGTCGCATGTCCACCAACCTTTCTTCCGAATCCTTCTTCGCTGTCCTGTCTACCTAATCTAATTATCATCACGAAATTATTTGTTTGCGTGTACAAGTATTGGCAATCTATTCCAAGATTTTTTCTTCCTTTTCTCTTTCCCCGCGTCGCCTCAATCCCTCGTCTGCTCTTCCCGCCTTAGAAGGCTGCAAGGATTTCGTGTACCGAAAAGAGACTTTTGCATCGGTGGCGCAATGCATCCATTTACCCTTTTGGGGGCTGAAGGTCTTGATGCATACACTTTGATGCATGCAGTGCAGCATATCTAAGTGTATGATTTTGGTGAAGATATGTATCACATGATTAACGATCGATCCTGCGTTGTCCTTGTCTTATTTGACACGTGAAGTCCACGTGCATCTATCTAATCTCGGGATTTAGGTTTTTGTAAGACTACAATTTACGATATTTTATTTCATATCGTATGTGTGAAAGTTCATGTATCGCCGTTTAAAATACCTTTTACCTTTTTAGTACAATACGCAATATCCAACAAAAGCTTCCTCATCTGAAATTCTGAAACACCCACCTATCTTTGATAGCATGGCTTGGACATAGAACTTTCTAGTGAGGCTCTCGGTCCATTAAATTGCGAATTATCGCCGACCACAGTTTCGTGATCAGATAGATTGTGATACGAATCCAAACCTTGCATATGCGCATCGGACGGAGGAAAGTAGCCTTACCTTACCCGTCGCTAGACTTATTATTTATTCCTAGAGAGTACTCGGGAACTAAGAAAATTAGGTTGAACCCTTGTAGTTTACCAGTATATGGTATGTGCTTGTCTACCCGAGTTGCGGACTTTTCTGACGGCATTGAGTAGTTTCCAAGCTTATTTCATGAAGATATGAATGAACCCCAACCTCCAAGAAATTCTTCCTCCGGATTATTCCTTCTTCTTCTTCTCTATATTTTCCCGGGCGGATACCTACTCAAGTCAAGCCGGATACTCCTATCATACTCTCATTAGGTGTTTAGGTTAGGTATTTTTCTCATTAGTACAGTTAGTAATCCCCTCCATATATTTTCATGCCCAAAGTCGGAAAGGCCCGGTAACTCATCTCGTTGTGACCTACCTACCTACCTACCTACCTATGATGCATGATATCCAAACTTCCAAGATTTTTCACATACACTCCAGAGTCCATCCAAACTTTCCCGGGCCATAATTCCGTCTTAGCTCAACGAAATATTAATTCCCATCTCCATAAAAAAAGTCTTTTCCATCTTCTTCTCAACCCATCCATCCACCCAACCAACCGCTTATGGTTCGGTTCATTCGTGCCCAACGCCAACGATTCGCACGTGGGATGGTCCGTGTTAGTTCGTGTTGGTATGTATGTATGTATGTGCGGGAAGGTGCATGGGTGGGTAGTGTTGTTGGGGTTTTCTCCAAAAAAAAAAAAAACTTAATTTTTCTACCCCTCATTCAGTTGCTAATATGTTGATACTGTACAGTAACGGTATGAAAATCATAAAGAAATGATGAGGAAGGATTTTCCAAATTTCTTGCTCCTCAACCTTCTACCCCTCATCTCATTTGTATAACCTAGTTTACCTAGTAGGTTAGCATCATACGAATATCATATCCGGGTGCTTTAAGTAATGCATCTCATCTCATCTCATCTTATCTTATCTTATCTGATTGGATAAAATAGGATAGAATGGGAAGAATTTCAAGTGATTCTAGTCGTAGACTTGTAGACTCGTGGTAGCATAGCATCGTCATGTATACTAATTTTTTGATCACAATTTTATTTTCCATGGGTTCTTTTCACTCACCATTAGCTTCCGTTTTTTTCCCTCTAGAGTACAAGTTATCTCTCCTCTGTGAGTGCATGCATGCGTGCGTGTGTGCGTGCTTAGAACTTAGTTCATGTTCATGTTCATGTTCATGCAAGGTCGGCACCGTTAGGTTAGGAACGGCCCCGCATATAAACTTTTTTGATGGATCATGGATCATGGATCACGGATCGTCATAAATCTTTCCAATTTTTTTTTCACTTTCGTTATGCGGTATCGGTATGGGAATTTTCCTGATCTGATCTCTTTTCTGTCTGTGCATGTAGTGTAGTGAAGTGAAGTGAAGTGACGTACTAGCTATGTATATCATAGTAGAGTGCGAGTGCGAGTGCAAATTTGAAGAATGGGGTTGGAGTTTTAATTTCAATTCGCTGAGGACGCTTTGGTGGAGATTCGGGATGCAGGGGGGTGGGTGGAGTCGAGGAGTGGGGTGGGGTGGAGAAGTGGAGGAGATGAGGGGAGGGATGTGTGGGGAATAAATATATTTGTTTGTTTGTTTGCGTACATATTTGGTATGACGTATGTGATATGTTCTATGTGGGTATTGAGCTCAATTATTAATAGCTAATAGCCTCTTTTCCTTTCTGATTCGATGATACAGTACTGTCTGCTATAATGAATTTTCGGTCGTGTCATGTGAAAATATCTGATACTGTTCATATCCATATCCGTATTCATATTATATGACATGTGAATTATCCGCCATAAATGATGATTCAACTTTTATGTTTATATTTATATTCCTTCCCACATCTCTCATTCCCTTCTCAGGCTTTACTATTTTCCCCCTTTACTCGAGTACATCTTTCTCTTTCTCTTTCTCTTTCTCTTTCTCTTTCTCTTTCTCTTTCTCTAAACTACTCCTACTCCTACTCCAACTCCTACTTCTATACTCTACTCTAAACTCCTCAATCTCCAATACCCAATCCTAAACTCTATTTCTATAATCCTATAATTCTATACTTCTTTTCCCATATACTCGAGTAATAAGTATATATAGTAAGTAAATATACATAATACCCATTCATTCATCCCTTCTCAAAGAAAGACCTAGCCCGAGGGCCGAGTCCCTCCCTAATCTTGATGTTTGCTAATCTAGTCTGGTCTAGTCTGGTTTAGTCTAGAGTTCTTGTATATAGTATATCTAATGTATAGTAATTAATGCAGTAAGCAATAGGCGAGCTGAGCTTTCTTTTGGAAAATTTTATGATTCTTGTTTGGTTGGTTTATGAGTATGTAATGGAATATAGAGATAAAGATAGAGAGGTAAGATTACGATACGATGGGATTTTGGTGTGTGAGGTGAGGGGAGGGTGTGTTATAGGTATAGGTATAGGTATATATTTTTTGGATGAGCGTGGATGGGTTTGTGATGTGTTTGTGTATGTGTATGTATGTATGTATGTATGTATGTATGTATGTATGTATGTATGTATGTATGTATGACTTGCAATATATTATATAATACTCGGATTTTGCTGTGGTGCTTTTGAGGAGGGAGGGGGAAGTGGGAAATGGGAAATGGGAAAAATGGAAGGGGAAGGAGAAGGGAAAGGGGCAGAAGGAGCTGGAGAAGAGAGGAGGGAATATAAATGTATATATTAGTGTTGGAAAGAAAGAGGAGGGATATAAGGTGGAGAGTTGGTGGTAGTAGTATTGATTGATACTATTGAGTATAAAATGGTTAGGAATGCAACGGGCTTTTCTACTCCAGACTCCAGTACAATTCCTATATGCGATAGGTGCGGTGCGGTATCAATAAGAATAAATATGTGACGCTTATGTGTATAATAAGTAAGGAATGAAATAGCTTTGTTTGGTTCTTGGTATCAATTATATTATTCTTGATCTTACATTATTATTACTATTATTATTACTATAAATTTTTATATACTTCAAGTTGGATGATTTATATATATATATATAGGGGTTGCGAATCATATAATTATCGAGAAATAAATACCATGTCTAATTGCAGTATTCAGACACGAATACGAAAGTGGGAGTTGCCAGTACTGGCCCAGTAGGCTCAGAAACTCAGCCCGGGTTTTGATCTTACTACGAGCGGAGAAGTTGAAGGTGGGTGAAAGGAGAGAGGGGGAGGTTGTGTATGATCTTATGATCTTAATAGATCTTAATCCAGTTTTGTATAATGTGACTTGAGACTTGGAGACTTAGATATATGTAGTATCGTACGATCAATGCATGGTTTATTAGGGAGATGACTACGCCATGTGACTGGATTGATAATTCAAGTTGATGGTATTATACAATTCCCTTTTCTCCTCACTTGAGTTTTATACAGAACAAAGAAAGCTCGCTGGCGCTCTTTTTTTTCTCTCGACAGTAGTGGAGAGAGTGTGTGGTTGTTCTTCCGAAAACTTGAAGAGAAAGGTTTAAATTTGCGTGGGAATAGTGTGAAAATACTTGAAAGGCTTGATTGTACCTTTTGCTAATTTTGATGCGGTAATGTTGGAATTATTTACATTTGGATATCATTGTTTCAAAAAAGGAGGTCTTGTTTCGCGGTAAGTTAAGCAGCAAGGGACTGGAGGATTATCCTATTGATTTTCCTTTCCAGCGTAACTATACGGATTGCTCTCCTCCTACTCTTCTCTTCTCTTCTGGATTTTCAAACCCTTGTATTCTCTCCAATCTCTTGTAAAATTCGTTGACTAGTGTTTTACCGCATTTATTTAGTTCTTGAAAGATTATTCATTATTCTTTTTAGAGAGAATAATCAATAACTTTGAATAAATATTACAAAATATATTATTGAATGAAGACTAGAAAAAGATACAATTCATGTAATTTAAAAATAACAATGATATCAAAATTACCTCCTTATCTCTCCGTTTCCTTCCTAAGGCTAAACAAATTCAAACATATCCACTCCTTCAATTTTCTTTCCCATCCTGACCCATCATATCCTTTCAACTGAAGCTTTCTTTCCTCTTTTAGTCGAAGAGTGAAGACGAGGGAAGTTGGCAAACATTGCTCCTTCCTCCACCCCCAGAAATAGAATACCTTCACTTCCTCTTCTCTTCTAAATGTAAGGTAGGAGATATTGTAGTCTTTCAACTATCAAAATTGATATATCAGAGTTTTGATCCCAGATTCTACCAAGATATGAGAGGGAAGAACGGGCGGGAGAATGTAGGGGAAAACATCTTACAATAGTAATTACCACCTATAATTCCTCTTGACCATAACTTGCCACATATACCGTACGATACCCAAATATAACCCAAACATAACCCAGAAATCACACTTCCTGACCGCCTGGTCTGAACAAATACGAAAACCCATATCTCTTTTGATATCGCCACTGCTTACATTTCACCCAAAGACTTGATATACATGGATAGTAAATCCATATAAATACATCCCACCGAACATTTACTGGCCGCTCCTCTTCCTCCTCTTCCTCTTCCTCTTCCTCTTCCTCTTCCTCTTCCTCTTTCTCTTCCTCTTCCTCTTCCTCTTCCTCTTCATCTTCCTCTTCCTCATTCTCCTCTAGTGTTTCCACTCTCACAATTCCTAACTTGAACTCTATATACGTAATCACCCTGAGTAAAAGGTATTCCTCATGTAATATCAATATCGCGAGGATGAAAGTACCAAGGGTGCTTGCAAGTATAAAAGCGAGCATGCATTTTTGGACGAAAAGAGGAACCTCAAACGAAAATGTGCCGAATTCCGCATCTGTGGGTAGAGATGATGATAAGAAAATTGAGTTGTCGATAGTAATGGTGACAGTGAAGTTTGTGCTGTTGTTTATTGTGCGGTTGACGATCATGCTTAAAAATAGTGAGAGGCATATTAAAACGAAGACATAGCATATATATGAGATAGGCTCTTTGCGCATCGATCTTAAGCGACGGGATGGCATGATTTTGATGATGAGTGATATTTGTATATTAGGTATCTGATATGAGTTAGTGTGTTGAGGATTGTGAAGGAGGTTTGAGAATTCTTAACGAACTTCGGAGTATATCGTTTATCAGCTAGATTTTGTAATTTGAATCGTGGAATTTGAGGTTTGATGTTTATGTAATGTTGACTTTAGATATTCAGATGATACAAGTCAGGGATGGGATGGGATTGAGATATGGTTTATATGAATGAGATTTGGTGTGTATGAACTAGTTGAAAAAGCGTTAACTGGTTTTTCTAGCTTGGCCTCAAATGACGTGTAGAGTACTGGAGTGGATGGTCTGAAGACCTGAACCTTTTTTGGTTTCTTGCACTATTATGATGGGAAGGTATTGATGAGTATTTTGGTTAAGGCATTCATTGGCTTGATATTACTGGAATATATATGGTATTGAACAATCTACTGATAATGATATTTTGTCTGCATCTGAACATTTAAAAAAACGATGTTAATGCTTCGTAAAAAGATCCCACAATCTCTGTTCCTCCTACTATCTACATATCAACGCTCTTCTGATAAGGAAGGCGCTATTAATTCCTCTTCGACCTCCATTTCATACCAATCATCTACATTATGTAAAATCGCTTTCAGGGTATATCCACCATAGTCTTCTCCCAACACCCGTTCCTTCTTTTCTCCTTACTCTCATCCTTATTATGCAATTTACTACCCCCCCTTGTCTCTACCCCTCCCCTTTCATCCTCCTGATATCAGTACATCACTACATCACTGCATCAGTAACATCTACCTCCTCAGATGCTTCCTCGTCCTCCCATGTGTCATCTTCTGACATCAGTAAATCAGTAAGATCCACATCCTCCAATATTTCGTCGTCCACCCATCTGACACTCTTCTCCTTCTGCTTCCCCTTATTTCCTCCCCTCTTCTTCAAACACGACTTCAAACTCATCTTCACATCCTCCACACTCTCCGTCCCCGCATTCCTTCTCTCCATCACATTCCTCACATCCGTAACATCCAAACTTCTCTCCTCTCCCTCCTCTCCAATAACCATCTCCAAAGGCCCCCTCTCCCTCATCTGCCCCTCGACATCCGTCCTCTCAACATCCCTCTCCTCCTCAGAGCATATCCCTCTTCTTTCATTCCTTTTCTTCTTCCAAGAATTAAACCATTCCAGAAATACCCCTTCTCCTTCCTTGAACTCTCCAATCCAAAAATAGATACGAAAATACAATATCAAGACAACGAACGTAAAGATAATTATGATTATAGCTTTCATGTTCGTCTGGTCTGACGAGGCGTCGTCAGGTGATTCGCGCTTGACTGGTGGCATTTTGTGGTGAGGTTCGTTGGGTGTAGATGGAGATTGGTGGGTTTGATGTGAGGGACAAGATTTGGAATCGTTGTATATGATGTATATATGGTGTAGATGAATTCGTGAGTTTGGTATGAGGGACAAGATTTGAAATGGTGTGTATAGTGTATATGGTGTAGGAAAATTGGTGATATGAGCGGAGCTTTAAAAGTGTAATGCAATATCTTATAAAGCTGTATATGTGATGAAACTTTGGCAGTCGTTATTCTTCACTTTGAAATGATACAGTAGAGTAATGCAGAAAGTTGAGGTTATGCATAGGGATATTTATTTTGGGAAAAGAATTCTAATCATGGTCGAGTGAAGATTTAAGCTGTATCAAGTCAAAACTCTATGTACTAATATCATGATTGAGTCATAAACTCATAGATTTTGTTTTAGTTCTAGTAAGTGTGGCTTTAAGTTTGAACTACCATGTACTAACGTTGATTTCATGGTCAAGTTTGACTTAGTGGAGGCGGACTTTGTCAAAATACCTGCTTGGTTGAAGAGTGTTATCCAAGGAAACGGTTTGTAGATCACCGCGCTAGATACCATGATCTACTTTAGCCCCCTATTTATTTCGGTAGTCGACTCGCTAGATTACCTAGCGTCAATTGGTCAACGCACTAAGCCTTACCACAGACAAATGAATGACCTCACCTTGGTGAAATTTTTTCATTTTCAAAGGTCATACGGTCACGAAAAGCCAAAATATTTCTCGGAGGACATGAGTAGAGAATGGAGAAGATGATGAATTGATCTGAAATGTGAGGTTACATTATATGAGGAACATTTGATTAAGCAATAAGATCTACCTACTCGAGTACAACCATCCACACTCAATTCCTGCACCCCAGACCCGGCATTGGCATTCTCTTCTTTTTACCGTTAACCTTGGCCTCAAGCGTACCAAGAGTTTTCATCTCCCGCTCCTTCGCAACCAGCGGGGTTATCTCTGTCGGTCCCGCAATTGCTTCCGTGTGTTTACCGCGTGCGAGTATGACTTTTTGTCTCGCAACTTTGTAATGATTATTTGTATTCGTCTCCAACTTGAAAACGATAAAAGCGACCAAGATGACGATGATGATAAATGCCGCCCACCGTCCGATTCCAGGTTTATCGTCTGCCAATTCCATTCCTTTGTCCGGAACGCAATTGATCCATTTTGGCATTTTCGGGAAATTGTTGTTGCCGGTGAAGGGGTTCAGGTTGTAGGTGTAAAGAAGGGTGCTCTTATTATTATTATGTGAGGTGAAGCTATATACTAATCGACTAGGCTAGAGTCGCACCTTCCATACTGATCCCTAACACCGGTGTAAATAAAGGAGGTCGAGTTGGACCGAAGCAGTGCGCGGCTGCTTGTGAAGATTACATATTGGTAGAGGTGGATGTGATAAATCAACACTGTAGCAGGGAAATTCGATAGAGCAGCTTACCATTTTTAAATGAATAATATTCTTTATTAATGATTTGAGAGTAGGTAGGACTTGTCTTTCAAATACTGGTAATTTGTGATATGGGTGGAAGAGAGATGTTTTGAAATGCAGAAGGGAATTTCAATATAGAAAAACCTAGTAATACAGCACTACCCAGGATGTAGTATTATTTAGGAAAGACGGCGCCAAACTATATAGAATGAAGCCCTTGGTACACACGCGACCAAGCTTTTGCATGGTATGAGTGGCACGATTTGACGATAACCTCAGGGTTTTTATATAATTTTCAGGCTGCTCTTGATGGTTACTATAAATGTAGTCGATAACCAGTGACCCGTAAATTTTCAGAATCTCCAGACTCCATCACTTATTTGTTTTGAACAGCAAGCAGTCAAGCCTCTCATTGCCAAGTTATTAAGATTTCCATAAATTACTGTCGATACCTATTACCTATAGCTATGGAATACTACAGGTACTCATTTTGAAACTGAAACTTGAAGTTCGGGATTGATTTGAAGTCGAAGTGTAAATTTGAGAATGAAGCCATTTAAACTCTTATAGATCTAGATCTCAAGTCCGAACAAATATCCCTCATCTAGTCTATCAAACCTATAAATATCTGGGCCTAGAATTTGCATTATTTGATCGATATTACTGTGAACGAAAATGAAATTCTAATCTGATGCTCTACACTATGAGTATTGCCGATACCCGCTTTACTATTAACGCTACGGTTACAATAGTTACTGCCCATACTGGAATAGTCGAGCCTCATTCCATACATTCCTTCACATTTGTTCCCGGCAGCAAAAGTATTTCAATATAGCTTGTGAGATCATCAATTAATACTGTTCCCGAAGAAGATATCTTTCCATATTTCCTAAATGCTTGTGATGGGACAGGTGAATCAAATACCACTCTTCTCTAAACATCTATCACAGCTACCCCAGAGATTTCGCATATTTACAGCGACACTGGCAAGCTTCTCAATTCTAACATAAAGACATTGATTCGAAAGTCCATGGCCTACGGTATTTCTCTCTGTACTGATTATAACCATCATAAAATGTTACTCCGCATACCTCATTTTAACTTACCAATGGTTCTTTCGTCCTTAACCTTGAATTCGAAGTTAAATGGTGGGATATTGATAGTTTCATACCATTCATTGTGTGACAAAATGACTTTCACTAATATCCTGAAGATATCGATGTCTATATGACAGTGCTTTAATACACCAATGTTCCTTCCGCTCGAGAGGAGAGCTGTTTGAAGTTTACTCACACCACTATCAAATGAGAAGTGAAAACATATCAATCCTCTAACTCTCTTCAGCAATCTCCAGATCTACTAAGTCTTACAATTTCGATACTATAGCTCAAATATGGCATTCTAGGATCAACCAATAAACAAAGTGAATCTGAAGGCAGATACTAGTATCCATAAATTATCCAGGATCTAGAATCTAGATTGACCTCTCGATTATATCTCCGAGTCCACATAAACCACGATACCGAACTCCCGAAGGAGTTTCAAAAGTTATACGTCTGAGGTGAACGAGGAATAATCAAGAGCAGAGAGAATCTTTGGTAGAATTCTTCGTTATATATTACTCGTAGATTTCATTTACATTTTCCAAAGAAAATATCGAAAATTCCAGATTTCGTATCAAGAAAGGAATTAAGAAGGATACTTATACTCCAACAGTTCCATTGATCTCAGTAAGAACGTAGATATAATCCTTTTATCATAGTGATCGAATCAATAACAAGCTCTAACCCAAAGCTTATTCAATTGATTTCTTCGAGATACACATAGAAAGCAAGCGAGACTCGGCAGGGACCATGATGATGATGATGCCCTTAAATGATTTCCAAATTTTCTCCACGGATAAGGCACATCCAACCAGTTCATTTATGCGGAGATGAATCTTCATTGTATTGCGTGAGTGGCACTCACAGTCTCACAGAATTTAAAACATACACATATTCGAGTACTCGAGTACGAGAAGTAAGTAGCTAAAGGGAAGGAAACGTACGCGCCCCCTCCTCTCCGATACTCCATTTCCTGTCCTGGTAACAAAGCAGGGTATTGAGTACTGGTACTAAATCCCATAACCCAGAATCTAACGAAGAAGAAACGAAGAAGAAACGAATGAGAATGAGAATGAGAACGGTAATATTTCAATTTTACAGTGCGTATACTCGAGTATATAGATGCACAGACAGATATGTAGCAATAAAAATAAGGAATAGAATGATCTAGTCTTACTACTTCGGTGAGTATGTATACCATGTGAGGTGGAGACTACTACATATGTAATGAAATGCAGTGCAATAAGATAAGGCAGGGAATCTTTAGAGGGGTATAGAGGATAGATTACTTGTAGTAAAAGAAAAGAAGAGATCTGTACCGGTATTCGAGGTGTTGTTTGGTAATGCTATGGTATACATTACTGCAATTTATTGCATACCCCGATGCAGATGCAGATGAGAATGAGGATGCGGATGTATAGATGTAGAAGTAGAAGTGGAGCCCAATGACTTGAAAGCCATTCGGTACAAATTGTGCCACACACAAGAGTACTAACCTAACTGTACTCCAGCTCATAGATATACAATCAACCCCTGTACTAGTATTTCATATTCCCCATAGGAAGGAATGAGAGCAAGGAGATTCTACAATTTATATGCCAGTGTATGTAGCCAGGATATGCAATCAAAATGCATTGAATTTTGAAGCCGAATTATAAACGGAATAAGAAAGGGAAAGCGCCAGAGTACGAGAAAGAAAAATGGCTTTGTCGAAGTATCGGGATATGCAGATCGGTGTATCTAACTCACCGTTTTACACAAATTGGGACGGTATATTCGTTGTAAGATCATAAGATAATGAAGGAGATAAGGTGAAAGCGGGAGTCGGTAAACTCATGTGAGATAGGAAGGAGAAAATTGAATAGGATGTTGAGAATGATTGGATATTTTGCGATAGAATAACGAATGTACACCGTTACTTGCCTACTGATGGGTTTGAGGTAAGAGCTTTAAAGAGCGGATGCGTGTTTGTTTCCTGGTGGCGCATCTCGGGGACGATATTTGAAACCCACATGTCCCCAGCTTAGATATGCGACTCGCGCAGAGTGGGTGTGAATAGGCACCTGTGAAAGGACCGTTGTTCGGAGACCTCGTGGGTTTTGTGGAAATTTTCGTTTGTGATCATAAAGCTGCCACGGGTTGGTATTGAGAATGATGTTTCATAGTCGACGGACCTTCTCCCGAAAAGCCGTTTTGAGCAGGAGAAATCTTTCGTCTGACTGTGATCTGACAGGTGAAGCTAAGATCCATCTGTAAGTGATGACATTACCATATCGTCTAATTGACATTGATAATTGTATATCCGGTATGGAGAAATTGAAAACTTCAAAGATATCTACGTCCCAAATGCGAGTATCCTGGAAGTCCGAATTTAATGAGCTTATGGCCTATCCCAATATCGATTTGGGCCTGGTATCAAGATAAGTGATATTGCGACGTAGTCAAGCATCGTGTAGACCCTGCAAGCTCTGATACTCGATTGAGATGATGATTTCTTTTGACTGTAGCCTAGAGTGGAAATTCCAAATAACGATATTCGTTGCAAAGTCGGCTAGCTGGTGGAGATGTTACATAGTCTGGCACGGATTGCATAGATGTCGGAACATCGATGAGTTTTGCCGTAAAGTAAGTATATTGATTCCATAAGACGGTGAAGATATCATCACGACATAGAAGCTGACTGACCTCAATATCTGAAGTGGGCAAACAACATGACATGGATGTATGGCTAGCCTTGTGGTGAAACAATGTTCATGATTGACAAATGTTCACCTAAGTTTCAGCATGGCTACATAGCTGTTTGACGACATTGACTAGGAACTGTAGATCACTTTTGTGAGGCATGATTGAGGCGTAGGGTGGAAAGCTTGGAAATAGGCAGCATCAATATCGGAGGATCAGCTTTGATCCGAGTCGGGAATAAGACGCGAATATGATAAAGAAAGTTGATATAATATCCCAATATAGTGAGTCCACGCGATTGTTGTACAGAAAGTGGGCGGATATGAAAATGATGCAGGATACAGCATCATGCAAGTTGTTGAAATGATCAAGACCGAGATAGTGGCGGCGACTATTAGATCATCAGCACAACATATAACAAAGGCGCGATGCTTAAAAACACCACATCTAGAACATTGGCATAAAGTAATAGGCTGGTCTATCAAAAGACACAAGAAGCAAAGAAGAAGGTGTAGACTGTATAAGCTGGAGTAAGTCATGGCATTGCACATGACCACGTGTTTTTACTTTTGAGGTTCTTTCGCTTTTCCGCTCCTCGCATTCGCCTTCCGCAGGCTCCAGCATTCTTGAAATTTGATATTCGTCTTTGTAATGAGGTTCTACAAAAGTTGAAGATTGGATGAATGGGAGAATGGGAAGAAGAAGGAGAGGAAGGAGAGGAGGAGGAGGGAGAGGATGAACATAAGAAGTTGGTATCGATGAAGAAAAGAGAATAAGCTAATAAGCCACCATCAGCCACCATCCACCAGCCACCAGCCACTAGACATCAATCAGCTCACGTGAAATTAATAGTTCTTTTTCCCCGGTCATTCATTCATCCACCTTTTCTGTTTCTTTTTTTTGATCCTCTCATCTTTTTGAATGAATCCCCTCCCCTTCCCCCCTTCCCCCTCTTGATTGGTTTTTCTCTCTCCCTTCCTCCCTTCACTTCACTTGTTATCAAAGTCAACACCCGCCTTCAAACCCCACTTATTTGATTTGATAACCATCCTTACATAATCGATAGTATGTAACCAATCATCTCTCATCTCTCATTCTCATTCCAGGCAACAATATTTGGGACGGCCGAAAAGATCTGTAGGCATCCGAATTCTATCAAGGGAGAGAGGGAGAGGGGACTTTGACTTTGAGAGTACCTAATTAATTAATCAATTGCTTTTACTTGTTTCTATATCAATTTATTTGAATGCTTCCTTTTTTTGCTTCATATATACAATATTCTATAACCTCTACTACTTCTTCTCAGTCTACCCTCTTCTCTTCATCGACCTCGTCGTCGTCCTCCTTTTTAATTATCATTCTATCTCATCTCAAAGTTGACTCTTTTGTTGGTTCTGCCGTTACTTATCAAACTCGCAACTCGTACTCTGAACTTTCACGACTACCTCAGCAACCATGGATCAATACTTCACCACATCTTCATCACCTCTGCAAAGGCGGTTAACTAAAATATACACCGATACCAAGAACATTTATGATTTTATCAAAGAACCAGTTAGAAATGTTCAAGATCATGACCTTCAATCGTTACGTCGCAAATTACGGATCCAACAAAATCGTTTGGTATCTTGGGGGCTAGAATGGTCGGATCCTTCACAGTCACCTGATATCGATGAATCCGTATCGAAAGCCGGATTATCTGAAATCGTCGGAAATGTTATGACAACGATCAAGGAGATACTAGCTGAAGCTGAACCATTATGGCAATCTTCCAAAAGGTTAACATCGGATGAGAGACCGTCGGAAAAATCGGAAAAGAGTGCTTTAATCCAATGGGATAAATCGAGGTTTGAGGACTTGGTTCAAGATTTAACCATGTCTATCGATACTCTTTATGATCTATCAAAGACACGACAGTCGGCGAGAAGTGGGGTTGGATTACAAACTTCGGAAGCTTCAAGTTCGAAAGAGACGTCTTCGGGACTCGAGGAAAGACAATTCGAATCGACGAGAATGTCAGCACCACAGCAAATCGATCCAGCATCACTTATATGGACGGGGAATCAAATCATTTCTACGCGTGGTATATCAAGGACGACATCGTCCAACTCATTGAGGCAGATAGTCTTGATGAGAAGATCTGTCAATTCATCGGATCTAAGGAAAGCTATCGGTCAAGCTCCTGATCCAATTCCTGTTCTGATCGAATATGCCCCTTATGATCCTATTTATTCGATGACTGGAATTACTCCATCGATGGCTCGGTTCGAGAAACTCTTTGCTGGACTTTCGCAGGCTTATTACTCTTCAGATCGGTTACTGGTTGGATTACTTCGTCTCATTGGATATTATGAAGATGCAGAGCATTGTCGATTTTGTCTTCTATTCGCCTTACCCACAAACTTCGGACCTATGGATATTCAAAGCCCAACTTTACGGATGCCTACGATAAACTCTCTTTCGGAGCTTCTAATCAGTCCTGCCTTTGAACCCAGTTTGGAGGTCAAGTACAGATTGGCCTACAACATAGCTAATGCTGTGTTTGATCTGCACTCGAAAGGGATTATCCATGGCGACCTACTTCCTTCAAATATTCTATTCATCGAGCATCCTACTTCACAACGGCCTTTCGATTTGACACAAATTAATATGCGACAATCGTACCTGGGTTCCTATGATTTGTTTTCTGATACTGCGTCGGATTCGGGACCAAGTTTAGACCAGGCCAATATGTTGTATAAGCATCAACTTGATCCAAGGGTTACCAAATATACCAACCTATCCCAAGAAAGCAAGTCTTTGGATTTGTACAGTCTTGCGATGATTCTTCTTGAGATTGGTCTGTGGAGTTCTCTGTCGGAACTTTTCCCAAGAGCATCCCAAGTCCCTTCAAACACTACAGACGTTCTCAAGCATCTCGCATCTCGATGTGGAAATATATATGTCAAAGCAGTGAAAGCATGTTTAACTGCCCCGGAAGGAGAACTCTCCCGAAAAGCAAGACCAGATGTCATGCATCAAAAAGTCTTCTGGCGTGTATCGAAAGCACTCAATACTTGTTGTTCGCTTGACGATATTTCCGACGATGATAGTGAAAGAAATGACGAGTCTTTGCTTGTCCCTTCGTCTTTGAAGGTTGACGTTCCCTCTTCATCTGCCAAGGGATATCGTGATCGAAGAGATGCAAAGATCGATTTTACTGCTCCACAAGAACCGGAAATCAATTGGGGCGAGAAACCAAAACGTGAAAAATCCCCTTCAAAAGCTACTGCTGAGTGGTCAGAGAAAAAGTCTTCTGGTGAGTTGATACCCCTCCATGAAAGTTCCAAACTAACTGTTCTCGTGTCAGCTATCGAACCTATAAAATCGAAGCCCAAGCTCAAGACATTCCCCGCCATTCGCATTAGTCAAGAACAGATTCATTTCTGGCACACAAATATCATGCCACACGTCAATCACGTTCTCCGAAGCTTTTACAAGAAATATCCCGAGTCAGTTGAGATATCTCTCGAGTCGGTTGGCGAGTCATCTACGAAAACGAAACCTACCATTCTCATCATCTGTACAAGTGTCAATAAAGTTCGAAGTATATTGAAGAAGAGTCTCGTATATGATAAAGCTACGTACGGACTGAAAGTATGCCGTGGAAAGGTAGTCAGAGCAAGAAATGGTGGAGTGAAGAGAAGTATGGCGTATGGTGATGAACTTGAAGCGAAGAATACTCAACATCAAGAACGTCCGACAAATGGCGCTAGTATGGGAGCATATATCAATGATCATCATCTTCCACCGGTATCATTTGGAGGGCTCATTACAGTCGATGACAAGCCTTATGGAATGTCTGTTCATCATATGTTAGACGATCCTTCTGACAATGAGGAGGATGAACCAGTTCAATCAACGAAACCAATCCTTCGCTCTTCTGCTCTTCCTCAATATCTCGAAATGCCAGAATTGACCCATTCCGATACGTCCTACTACTCCAGTGGTGACGAAGAATACAATTATAGTTTCACGGATTATTCATCTTCCGGTTCATCATTCGATTCCGATTCTTCACCCTATGCCTCAGAAGATGAAGATGACTCCGATGCCGAATTTCCCACTCTTGAACCAGGAGATATCCCTCATATTCCGGCCTCTCCTTCAAATATTCACAAATACCCAGTCACACAGCCAGCTATTGATGACATTGATCCAGACTTTTATCCCGATCCCGAAACTAGAGATGAAGATCATTTAGATTCATGTTTACTTGGAAATGTCTATACGAGTTCTGGAATCAGACGATTAGCTCACGAAAATCTCACACATGAAATTGATTGGTGTCTATTTCAATTCGAAAACCATCGTCTACCCGATGTTTCTTCCTTGATATCTTTGACCACACAACCAACCGGCGTAGTCCCATTAACAGATCTTCCAGATCTCCCGGTAAAGTGTACAGCTAGAACAAGCGGTACGCAAACGGGACGAATACTTCCCTCAATGTCCATTCTCAAAATCTATGGTCGTAAAACCCCATCCATGAGTTGGCAAGTCGCTGGCAAAATCGGTGTTCCGGGTGACAGTGGCGCGTGGGTACTTGAACGAGGAAATGATATCAGCGGAAGTCCTAGAAATAGTGGTGGCAGAGTTGCAGGCAGTGTGCTAGCATGGAGTCAGCGCAAAAATGTTGGATATATTTGTCCCATGTGGATAAGCGTCTTGGATATGGCAAATGCGTTAAAGTGTGAGAATATTGGACTACCGGGTGTGGAAACACCTATTTGGAGTAAAGTTCCTATGAGGAGGGAGAGAGATACTGTGTCACCTATGTCAAAAAACAGTTCGAGTCCTATAAGTGAGAGAGAAACAGGAGGGTGGGAAAGTGAGGATGAGGCGCATAGTTTGAGGGCCAATAGACCTCAAAGCGGAAGATACCCAGTGGTAATTGATGATGATCTCGCGGATGACGAGGATGAATTATCCGGTGTTTTGGGGAATGTTAGAGACATGGAATCAGATCATGAATACGAACATGGGGATGATGGAGATATAGATGATGAATCATACGACGAAGAAGAAGAAAGAGAATACTGGAGTAAATTCAAAGCTGCAAGCGTTAGCCCCGACCGCAAGATGAAGGGGAAATCTTGGACAAGAGATGATGAACATGAGAAAGAAGTTTTCCTATCAAGCGAAGAAGAACCGGAATTATTGGCAACTCTGGGTCAACAATCGAGAAGAGGAAGGGGTTTTGGTGTGAGGAGCTTTAGTGGTGATAAGAGCTTGGATATGGATATGATGGTGGGGGGGCTTAAGGGAATGTGTATTGATGGGGTTGGTAATACTATGGTTGACGGTGGCCGAAATACAGTGTTTAGTATGGATGGGAGTGCGATGGGGGATTTTTGTGTGGGGGGTGCGGGGAGTGCTAGGAGTGGGAGTGGGAATGGGAGTGCGAGTGCGAGGGACGGTAATGTGAATATGAATGGGAATGGGGATGTGGGGGGAAGTGGAGGTGTGGGTGGAGGTCATAAGAGGAGAGGTGAGGGTAGTGTTGGGAGTGTGCATTCAACGGGTAGTTTGAGTGGTATGGTAAAGGGACAGGGACAGGATCAGAGTCGGGGGAGGCAACAACGGGTTGGTGTGAGGAGTTAGGGGTGAGGAGTTAGGAGTTGGGAGTTGGGAGTTGGGAGTGTTAGTATTGGTATTGATGAATATCGATGAAACATTGGTATGATTGGTATATAGCAATGTGCTATGCTATGGAGTAGGAATTTGACTTTGAAAAGAAATAGGATGGTATATAGCAATTTGCTATATTATGGAGTAGGAATAGGAATAGGTATACCCAGGTTTTATATACTAATAAGTTATTAATAGCAGAAATATAATATACAGTACGGAATATAATATACGGTAACTTGAAACTACTCTCATGCCACTGAAAGTGAAATATATTACTCTCATACCACGAAAATGACACCTGTTTTACTCTTATGCCACTTAGATTCTATAACAGAATCTATAGTATATACCCATTTATCCTCCCTCTCTCTCTCCCATCCTCACACCCACTCATCCCTACACCCGTTTATCCTTATACCCCATTTATCCTCTCTCCCTCTCCCTGTCTCTTTCTCCTCTCTCTACTCCCTCTCCCTATCCATAAATCAATTACAACTCATTACAAGTAAACAGACAGACACCTTTCACATCACATACAATTCTCACTAGTACTAGTATTCCTATTCATTTCTTTAATACTCGAGTACGATTTATTATTCATCATTATTCTTCTAATTTAAATTAAATTAACCAGATAGATATCTTTGCCACCAAAACAACTAAAAAGAAAAAATTCGCATAAAAAAGTCATGGTATCTAATCTATGCCAACCAATACTCGCCATTAGACAAAAGCCAAAGGAAAAGTAAAAAGAAAAACAACTCCTCTCCCTCTCCCTTTCCCTCTCACCACCTCACCACCTAGGATCATAAACCTGTTTCCTAATCCAATTTTCCAACGCCACATCCCCCCATTCCTCCCACTCCTCCCACAATTCCTCTCCCAACCCACTAACCCCCTCTCTCCTCGCCGCCTTCATAACTTCTCTCGCCACCACTACACTTGCATCTCTCACTCTCTCAATCTTCGGATAGATCAACCCCATCAACAATTCCTCTTTATTCAAACATCCACTTAATGCCTCCGCACTTTGATAAACCATTGCATCTGTAACCCTCTTTGCTTTGGCCAAGATCGCTCCTAAGCCCAACCCCGGGAAAACATAAACATTGTTTCCTTGATTGGGATAATATGTCGTGACACTATCCGAGTGCTTGATGGTCACGGGAGAGAATGGGGATCCGGAGGCGAAAATAACAGTTCCTTCGGTCCATGTAATTGCTTGTTCGAAAGTACATTCGGCTTTCGTAAGAGGATTGCTCAGAGGAAAAAGGATTGGTCTTCTTCCCAAACCGCCAGCATCAACCGATACTTTGAGGGCTCTGATGACTGATTCGGTGAAAATTCCAAAAGTGGCTGTGAGACCGATTAAAGCGGTAGGTTTGACGTATTCGATGACTTCTTCCAAAGTACTGAATTGATGACCATTATTATCCGTTCTGGCGAAGATCTTCTTATGCTCCGCTAATTTGTCTCCTCGATCCTTGGTCACGAGGCCTTTGGTATCAACGAGCCAGAACTTATCGCGAGCCTGTTGCTCCGAGAGACCGCGACGGGTATAATATTCCATGACTTGTTTGGCAACACCTACACCAGCCGAACCAGCTCCCATGAAAACTAATCTTTGGTCTTCAATTGGCACCCCGGAAAGATTTACTGCGCCAATGTATCTAGGATCTGTTAGTGATGTGGAGTTGCGGAGTGAAATTTATCCGGAGCTTACCCAGCCAATACAACAGCACCAGTCCCTTGAATGTCATCATTGAACATCTTCTCATTCTTGTATCTATCCAAATATCTGAAAGCTTTTTCGGATTCGAAATCTTCAAATTGAATAAGCATTTCTGGGTAGACTTCCTTTACTGCTGCCATGAATTCATCCATAAATTCTTGTTCGACTTGGGGACCAGGTCTCTTCATTCGGAGACCAAGATACAAAGGATCTCGGAGATTATCTTCATTCGCAGTACCGCAGTCGAGAACAATGGGTAAGGTCTTTTCGGGATGAATACCAGCTGCACCTGTGTATAGAGCTAATTTGCCGATCTGGAGGGGTAATGTGTTAGCCAAGACCATGAAATGAGACATCCAATTGAGCACGAACCGAAATGCCGACTCCATTTACACCCAAGTCTCCCAAGCCAAGAATACGTGATCCATCGGTGACGACACAAATTGAAGGGTCTGGATATGGCCAATTCTTCAAAATTGTGACCATAGACTTTCTTTGCTTAATCGAAATATATAACGCTTCTGGTCTGGTGTATAATGTTGAGTATTGAAGGCAGACATCTCCTATTGTTGGAGTATAAACGAGTGGCATGAGTGTTGCAACATTGTCGATGAGGAGACGGTAGAAAAGGTCGGTACTTTGTGCCTTGATGTTTGAAAGATATAGGTATTTGTCGATAGGTGTTCCACGACTATTGATCATTCGCATTGCTCGAATACATTGTGTTTCCAGACTCTCTAGGACGTGGGGGATGAGACCAGTAAGGTTTTTGTTGACTCTTTCTGCGGGAGTAAAGGAAGTACCTTGTGGAAAGTCAGATCAAGGTATTTATCAAATGATGTAGTAAACTCACCTTTATTCCAAGCAGGCTCACGGAGAACCTGATATCCTTTTGCGGAATATTTGGTGATATATTCGGTATCTTTAGGTTGTGTAACAGTTCCATAATGGTTCTGACTATAACCTTTCAAATGGTCAAGAGAAGACTGCTTCATGGCAGTTTCAATTGCAGCGATATCGATACCACCAATTGGATTCATGGCTGTATTTCTTCGATTTGTCGATATAGAAATTCTATTGCTGATAGTAGTAGATGATGAACGACTTGCGACAGAGTAGGTAGGAGAAGAAGATTCAGGAGTATTGGGAGTTCCAACTTCAGAACTGGATGTACTGTAATTATAAGAAGCCATTTGAAAAAAGATTATGGTAAGAGAGAGTGCCGGTTAAAAAAGATCTGGGAGAAAGTCAATATGATATGGGATGATAGACCGCGTTACTTTTATGTGGGAACATGACCATTTCCATCATTCCTTGACAGACAAGGCCTGTCAGGGCATCGGAAGTGAAGGGCTGAGAAGAAGAAGATTTGTAACATGATGCTTGTAGTTTCGTTGGGGTTTCAATAGTCGTCCGAAGAATATTAAATGTTGAGATGAAGGTAGAATTGGCCTCCTCATGATCCAGTAAGAAGATGTGTATTTAATATGGCCCGCAAATCGTAAGGCGGGTTGTGGATATTCTTTTCCGTATGGGTTTTCCCGGATACTAACTAATCGGAAGACCATACGGTAGGTAAGTATTCTTACATCCGTTCATCTGATAGATGCTCATTGCTCAAAGAATGAATGAATGAATGAATGAGAACAATCCTCCTTCCTACCTGAGATGACATCATGTCGACTTAACTTACTTGCCGCTTTTTGACGTTTGGAAGTACATCCTTCTTGATGATCTTGATGATAGTGAATTCTCATCAATCCTATCCTCATGATATGATTCGAATGTTATTTTTGATACGAAATATTGAATTGAAATGTTGAAATGTAAGGGGGATGTCGAGATTTGGTGATTGAAGTTTCCATCTTTCCCATCTTCGCTTCACATTTTCCCACGGAACCGAGCCCGATTTACCCAATTTAGATAAACCCCAGTTTATGCAAGGGATATCAACTTATCAAGGATTACAGTAATAAGCATTTAACTAATTCTATTATTTATGCATTATACAAGGTTTATGGTAATAAGCATTTAACTAAATCTATTCTTCATGCATTATACAAGGTTTATACTTCCGTTCTTCTCCGATATCGTTCATCACGCCCATTCGAGACTTTTCAGTCGAGCCCAACTTGTCTTCCTTCCCCCCTTCCCCCCTTTCTTTATTTTTATATTTTTATATCTATACGAGTAAATAAATGTTTCGAAACATATATGTGGAACTTCATTTAGGGATATAGATATAGATCGGAATAAGTCACGGCATTATCGATTGATTGATTATACTCGTACGAGTAATTAATAGACTCAATCAAGGTCATGATGCCGTTAAAATAACGCATAATAAACTTATCCATTAATATCTATAAAAATGAGAGACCAAGATGAACTGTTTCACATATGTATGATGGATTTTGATGGGATCCACTCGATTACCGGTATCCCCATCCATCCATCCATCTCCTTCGGAATACTTTCCATATGGGTACTTCTGTACTTCTCGAAAGTTACTCTTTTAGGAATTGTAACTATTATATTTGATTGTGACGCAAACTTGGAATTGATTCAAGCAAACAAGCATTTCTCAAGAATTTCCAAGCAATTTCCTACCCGTTCTTCTATAGCCATTATTAACCACAACTTTCTTTTTCATTGCAGGATCATCCTATCTTGTAACCTTCTTGTCGCATAAGAGTGTTACAGCCAGCACTTTAGATATCAGATGATGTTTCCCTCAAAAACTCAAAAACTCAAATCAATGAAGATATCGTGGAAATATACCGGTACTCGAGTACTCTAATATCGATGCCCGATAACCTCCCTCTTTTACAGTACCGGTATTCATTTGAAATCAATCATCATCACGAGATTCGGGCAAAATGGAGTTGCCCCAGAAAAGTTTCGGTCAGCTTCTTCATTTACTATACGAGTACCAGTCTTCGGCTTTGCTTACATTTCCTTACATTTCCTTGCAATTTATAGAGTATTTAAATTCTGAATTACACATCTGACTATGGTTTGATTTGCTGCGCCATTCATATCATTCACGTAGATATGAATTCGAACGGCGCAGTCCCGGGTTTCAATCGTGGCAGGCCTTTGAAGATTCCGTGTACATATATATATATATCGTAAGGTTACCGTCATCCAATATGTTGGTTTGCAAAGTTGCTCAAATTGATTCGGTACATCTTATCCCATCCTTTAGGGTTCTTTTGATGTTTCTCTTTCCATCTGTTTTCGTAGGACTGACTTTAGGAGTGGCCGGTATGTAATCCAATGAATGCCTAGGTGCACTATTAGAGCTTTGCTAATATAAACCACCATCTTTGTTTTCTATTATCTTTTCAAACTAACTGGTATTCACTGAGGATCATCGAAGTTCTCAACATCGGCCCAGAATCTTTACCAGGATCTAATTGTGTCAAATATGTATAAGGTCAGGCTCATGCTCGGACCGTGCTGCAATTTCTGCCTATCATTCATTCATCAACAACATATATGTCCTCTTCAATCCTATTCATGCATAAAAACACCAAGTCTTCAACTTTCGGATTATTTTTACTCTTAATTTCACATATTATTCTCAATATCACAATTACAATAAGTATGATGAAAGTCATTCTTTCGTTTGTTATCTTGGATATACTCGTAGGTTGTGTTTAAGCTGCGATATCCTGACTCCCATTAATCTTGGATGCGGCTGGTGATGCCATCACCGATGACGGGAATTTTTCGAGGTGTTAAGAGCGCCTATTAGGATGGGCGTGTAATTTATTCGAACCATCCGCCTGTGATATACTGACTGATATGATGCAGAGATATTCTTCATCGCGTTAATATGATAGATATTGAAATTGGAATTCCACCACGAATCTTTTGACCTATCATAGATACTACCTGCTAAGCTTCTTTACCGCATGATCAGTTCAATTACATGATAAATCATATAAGAGCAGACATTCTCTTTTTCTCGAAGTTGACGAAATGGGAGGCTTAATATTCTATCATGCAGACGTTCAAAGCAAAAGTTTAACATTGTGTACTGGACTGATATAGAACTTAATTAGCACCTTGAGTTCTGCGGTATCTAGTGTTCTAACTGCAGACGAATCAATTTTATTCCATTTTGTAATCCCCAGCATCAACTGATATCCCGAAGGATTCGCTTTTTTTTGCCATCTTGCAAATGTCACGACATTCCATATCCCTCATATCAAAAACACAACTCCTTCTATCCCTAACCAATATCCCCGATGAACCTCGCACCGCACCTGCTGTATATCAAATACCACACCATTCCAACCATGAAATCCGATCATCAACAAGCTTACTGTCGGACATACTTACACTTCCATTCTCTGTTTCTATAGGCCACTCTCTCAATTACAAATCACACATCAATCGCCGATAGAAAGTAAATACGGCACTACGATCATATTTATCCAAAGACGGAGACAGACCATCATTCTGCGACTCGTTATAATATCAAGATATTACGTTATTCAAGATACATACGTATGCATATGTAAATAATACGATTTAATAACAACTTTATTCATCTAAGTCCAAGTCTAAGTCCAAGTCTAAGTATGTACTGATAGAAGCCTAATAAACAGGCCAAGTATTTACTAATATAAAATTTCAAAGACAGCGGGATTCTTGATCTGATTAGATTTTGGTTCAAAGGACCCGAGAATATACGAGTAAGAAGGAGATGGAGATGGAGATGGATGAATGGGATAGATACGGATAAAATGTAAAAGAGATGATTAATGTACAGTACTGTAGTAAAATAGTAGGTGTATGATCGGAAACGAAATGAAACGAGTCCCCTCAGTGATGAAAATGAGGATTTTTGAGTGGGAATTGTGTGGTTGGGTTGGGTGGATGAACGGCTTTTAGATGGATGGGATGGGATGTTATAGTATATCTATCGTACATGTTTATTTTATTGTCTTTATGAGCTGGATAGAGATTTCCCTGTAGGGAAATTTACTCGAGTATATAATTGTGAGAGATTGGGATGCGGTATTTTCTAGGTTGGTAGATTCAGTACAAGTGGTGTGTTTATTAAGTTCCTTCTTCATTCATTCATCGAAAATATAACTTCAAACAATCTCTCGTAAATATAGCTAGTCAGTCCCAGTTTTAATGTCCGTCATACTTGTGAAAAATGAGACAGGAATCCAGGAGCTCAGAGTATCAATACTAAATCATACAAATCAATAATCACAATCGCAAATTCCAACGCTACGAACTCTCGCATCCACTTGATCCTATAACCTTTACTCGAGTACAAACAATCTCACCCCTCCAACCCATCAACATAATCCCTAACCGCCTGTTCAAATCCCCTATCCTCCTTAAACCCCAATCCCAACGCAAACGCATTATCATACCTTACCCCCCAACTCCTCAAAATCTTCACCGTCCCCTCATCTTCCACCTCCCTAATAAACTTTAATTTTTCCTCTCCCCCAACTGCTACCAACGCATCCAACATCTCCTGCACACTAGCTCCTTTCCCCGGAAGATTCACCACCCTGCGATGCGTATCCAGCTTCAGCTCCTCTAAATCGAAATCCATCTCCCCCGCCCACACCAAATTCTCGACCAACTTCCTCGGACTACACATCCAGCTCATAAACCCCCGATCGCAAATCGGAATTACACATTCCTTTCCCCTCATCGGCTCACGAATCATACCGCTCAAAAATGAACTCGCGGCAGCAGTGGGTGCCCCGGGTCGGATACTGATGCTGGGAAATCGTAGACATAAACCGGTGATATATCCCCTGCGGATATAATCTTGGATAAGTGTCTCGCAGGCGAGCTTTTGCGCCCCGTACGAACTTTCGGGTGTGGGGTGTGTGGTCTCGTTTATGGTTGAGGGGAGGGGTCGCCCGTAGACGGCGAGGGAGGAGGCGTAGATTACTCGCACTGGTTTTGGGTTTCGTTTTCCTGAGGCCTGTAATGGAGATGCGGTTTGGGTTAATATTGATGTTCGTATACCCTCCAGTAGCGAGAGTGTAGAGTGGAGGTTCACGGTCATTCCTAGGGAGAAATTTTGTTCAGAGCCAGAACTCATGATGCCGTGGAATATAAAGATGGTGTCTATGATGCTGGCTGTAGATAGCAGGGAGCTGAGTGATGATGCGTTGCAAAGGTCTGCTTGGATGGTTTGAACATTTTGAGGATATTTTGCTTGGGAGGGAATGGGTGGTTCGATTATATCGGTGAGAATTAGTTTGTTGTCTGGGGCGGTGGGATGGACGGTTAGGAGATGAGTGGCGAGGAGTTGGCCGATGAAGCCTGCGGCTCCGGTGATGAGGATTGTGGGCATGGTGATATGGGTTGTATTGAAATGTACTCTATTCAAGATATTGAGAATAACAAAAGGACAGAACTCGTTGCTTATGAGTTCAACAACTTGTGGAGTCACAAGTGTGTTGAGACGAGGTGAGGTGGACAGACTTGGAGTATGATAGACGGAAGAATAGACACTGAAGTCGAATTAAAAATGGGAAGAGGCGAGGTTTACTTTGTGTTAGTTACAGATCCACACGAGCAAATGGAGTTCTCGACATTCAAAATCTTTTGTATATCTTGAGAGGATGTTCAAGAACGGAGTTGGAAGAAAGAGGATGAATCACCCCACTTTTACTCGTGCACTTACATATCCGAAAATACCCCGCCGTTGTGGGGGCGGAGACGAGACGAGACGTGGGGGTCATGACTTCATGTACGAGTAGTACTGTAGTCTCCAAAGAACATAACGGTAGCCGATTGGATGGAGGAAATTTCATGCGATTTTATATCAGTTCGTGTGGAGGGATCCAAGGGAATGCGGCGCATGGCTCTAAGGGAATGGGATTGAGGAGTAGGAGGGAAATCGATCGGATTGAATCATCGATGTCGGTACGATCCGTATAGCTGGACTTCGAAAATTCATCTTAGGATCCTGATCTTCATTATTTCCATTGGGTTCTGCTTAGCTTATCGAGGAGAGATGTTTCGTTCCCTTGTTTTGTTGTCTGCTTTGCTGCCATACTATTTGTGATACGTTGGTTTTGAACTTTGGCCGATGGGCTATGTATTTCTACTGCTACTTTAACTATCCCAATCACCTATGTGCTGTTGATAGATGTGGCGAGATTGCATAATGTATGCACATCATCTGTATAGTACTCTGATATGTGAAAGCATCTCTGCATTTGTCCACATTGTTTTGGACGCTGCGGGGAGGGATGTAGGATCTAATTGCCATCTCCCCACAGTCAGATGAAATGTCCATAAGAGGAAGGTTAATTGAGGTTACGTCGTTTTGGCTGAATTATAATGATCTTATCTTATCTTCTGTAAATCCACCATTCTATCCACGAGGCACCTGTAAGCTTCATGGATAAGATGTTGACTGAGTGGTAGTTTGAAACTGATCTGCCGTCTACCTCGTGCCAAACGATATTCCTGAAATCTCTGTCACGGAATCAAGGTACTCACAGAAAATTAAAGAAATAATCGAACGCTGGAATACAAGTCTACTTCTGAAAGGTATGATTCATATTATCATTATTCTGCCATTTATTCATCTATCAAACTCTAATCAACAACATTGCAGCCAAGTGTAAAGCGCTTATATGTCGGACTCTCTATGCATAAAATTCTTCATAAATATAACCAAGTCATTATCCCAAACCGTCTAACCAGTCTTCTCAGTAGTAGCACTATCCTCGACTCTAACAGTACCAGCTTTACTTGCCAGTGGCTCATCACCTTCGTGGTGGACAATATCCTTCTTTGCATGAAGCACCGCCTCAACATCCTGAGCTCTTTGCTCAGCATCAATACCTCCGAAAAGGATATCTAATTCCTCCAACGTCTTCCCCTTCGTCTCCCTAACAATGAAGAAAGACCAGACACCCATTCCGAGACAGAAGAACCCAAACATCAAAAATGTTCTCCATCCAATATTCGAAACAGCAATCGGTGTAATTTCCGTAATGGAAAAGTTGCACAACCATTGCGTAGAAGCCGCGAGACCAACACCATAGGATCGAAGTCGGGTGGGGAAAATCTCAGACACGTAGACCCATGGGATAGGACCCCAAGATGCCGAATACCCAATGACGAAGAAATAGATAATTACAACCATGGCGATGGAAGCAGGCGACACAATGGTGGACTTGGTATCGGGTGGGTGGGTAACGAGGACCGAGGCAAGGATAAACATCATACTCATCATCCAGGCGGCACCGAAGATGAGAGACTTGCGACGCCCCAATGTATCAATACCAGTAATCAAGAATATAGCAGTAGTGACGACCTTGACAGTACCGTAGATACCGGTAGCGAACAAGGCTGTATTGGCAGCTGAGATACCAACGGTCTCGAAAATTTGTGGTGCGTAGTACCCGATAGAGTTGGTTCCGGAGAATTGTTGCCAGAACATGAGGCAGAAAGCAGTAATGAATCTGAATCGATTGGCGGGTTGGAAACACTCCTTCCAGGTCAAACCTTCAGTTTGAGCCAGTTCCTCCTCGATGGATGCACGAATCTCGGCAATTTCTTGCACGACTTCTTCATCTTCGATTGTCGTGCATCGAGTCCAGGCCATTGAGGCAGTGGCTTCTTCGTATCGACCTTGCTTGGCAAGCCATCTTGGGGATTCCTTCAAGAAGAAGAGACCGATGAGAAGGAATCCACCAGGGATGAGTTGAATGGCGACTGGGATTCTCCATTGCTTGGTAGATGTTGGGATGTGCAATGCGACACCGTAATTCAACCAGTAAGCAAAGGTAGAACCCAGAACCAAGAATTCTTGAAACATTCCAGTAATACGACCTCTGATGGCGGGAGGAGCATTCTCGGTGACGAATACTGGAGTAATAGATGACATTCCACCAACACCCAGACCAGCAACAACACGACCAGCATATATTTGTCCAAGACTATGACTAGCACTCGTTTGTATGGCGGCACCAACAAGAAATATGACGCTGAATCCAATGAGAGAGTATTTTCTTCCGAACCGATCATTGCAAAAGGCAGCGGCAATAGAACCGAAGAAACAACCAGCCGTAAGTAACGAGACAACATTCGAAGCAACCTGTGCATTTTTCGATCCCCCAAACCCCGTCGAATCGAGCGGAAGTCCGAAATCCCCTCGGAAACTTTTAAGGGCCAATACCGATCCCATGACTCCGGTATCATATCCTGCATGCGCCATCATATGTCAGTCATGTTCCATTCTCCTGATTCGATGTTTGACTACAGCATAAAAGCTTAAAACTTTCAGCCACCATGGGAAGGAGTTTGACTTACCGAAAAGCAACGAGCCCATGTAAGCCACGGCCGTCAGGAAATAAACGCGATAATTCTTGAAAAAGGCGGACGGCATCTTGTCGGTTATGCTGTCGCAGCGATTCTTGACAAGTGTTGATATTGACTGTTCGACAAGAGGACGATAAGGAAGAGAGAGAAAAGTCCATTTCGGAGGGAGGTATCGTTATATCTTATGTACTTGCCAAGATGGCTAATATGGAAATCATCAGCGGCAACATGATTGCGTTTGATGGGATTTGATTTCGCAGTTCATTCGTGCGAATATTTTGTATCAATCTGATATATGAACAGTGGAGAAGTTCTTCCACCATTTACGATGGAGAGAGAGAAGATGTAGATTTAAATCACGGCTCCCCATTCTTTGGTCTGGAGATTGATTGTTGACAAGCTTTCTGGATTAGTTTGTTGTTGCCGATAGCATTCAGGGGTTATGAATGGTTGATAGGTTTTAGTGTGAATAATCCCCGCGGGGTCGCAACTACTTAGTTTTGTTTCCCACGGGGTTAATGGTTCCACCGAAACGATACCTCACCTAGCTAGTAGAATTTTCGACAATTCTCACGATTCCTTCATCCTATATCATTTTGCTCCAATAAAGGACGAGAATCCACGCGGTTGGCAACGATTGTCAGATCAATTCGAAAAGATTGATAAGCTTGCTTCGTGAGGATATATCTAGTTTAATTTGGAAGAGATGTGGTGCATAAGGGTGGGAGGCAACAAGGGCAAATCAGTTGCTGGTATGCAAACACGAACAAGGATGCTGATAGCTGTTGCGGAGAAGGGGGTTGGTAAGATGGGATTTGAGCAGGTCATCCGAGGTATCAAAACCTTACGCCTGGGCAATATTGTGAAGGCAACTCGGCTCGCTGGAGCTAGAGACTGGACTTGATATCTTGGAAGTTGGGGGACGAAACGGCTCCGCAAAAAAGTCTGTGGAGAGAGTATGGAGAACTTATCGTTTGGTGGTATCAAACGGATACCCGGATGGAGTCGAAAATGGCTTATCTCTCAACCCAAACTCAAATCATTTGATATGTGAGGTGTCAGCTCAAGTTTCCTCGCTGTGAATTACAACCTTTGTTGTTTTCGAAAATAATATTGCTACTCGGGTGGATATAATACTTTTGACACCCTCGTAGGATCAGAGTTGTGTCCGATACAGAGCAAATTCGGCGTCTAGTTATTATCTATCGCCTAGTTTCTCCTGTTGGAAGCTGTCAAAATTTGACGTCGTCTTGATGTTGTAACAAAACAGCCTTGCTGCGCATGTAGAAAGGGAGGTATACTGATCATCGACAAAAAAATTTAGCAGCACAAACCACATCACAAGAGTCCATTTACCAACATAAGTTTACTCGGAAAAACTAATCCCAGCGCAGTAATCAATATCGACAAGCAATGAATCGGTGGCCAAGATATGACAACAAGTAAAAGCTAGTGAAGTAGAAATACATTATCGCATCCACAAGTGATCATTCTATAATTCGTCTCGATTCTCGACAACTCCCCCAACTTTTTCGGCCGTTACATTGTCACTTTCTTTCTCCGAAAAGGGAAACGATAGGCAATCCTTTAAGATGCTTACACTAAGGAATACATCTCGCCTCTCGTACGATACTTCGGACTGCTTCACTCGAATGACAAGAGTTGATGTACTTTAGAGCTAGAAAGTGACCCGGCTCCCTCGGAAATCGCTATTCTGGACTCTAGCGAAAACGAGGATAATGGATCTGGTCACTTTATGGTTTCACTAGATTCAATACTCCTTTAAGCGGTGTATTGAATGAAGGGGTCGCTTGAGGTATTTCTTCGCAAACACGCACCTTTTCACAATCGAAAATCACAAGTTCTCCCTAGCAACCATATCCTTTCGCGAGGTTATTGGCGGTGTGGACGAAAAGGGGTTGAACCATGGATTCCCTTTCTCATCATCGCTTGCGTTCAACAAGAATTGATCTTGACGAACTGACCAAAAGCGCGATTTTCAACATCGATAGAACGGATCTCTGCCGAATCTTCGCAAGCCGTTATACCGAGAAGTAAATTATACATACCGATGTCACCACTCGGAAAATCTACTCTTACAGGCATTTCCGCCTCCCCAATACCACCAATATCTTCCTTCCAACCGATTCCGACTCTCCATTTCCATCATACTCGACATCACAGACGGATCAATCCTCGGGAGGCAAGCAAGAGAAACAAATATCATACGACTTATCACATCCCATCTCAAACCTATATATGTTGTGCAACAATTCGCGAACTAAGCCACTTGCGTCAAAACCTTATTCCGTGCTTTTGATTTCCCACTTTTGTCGCCATCTTCCATGATTATTGGGAGTCTGTAATAGAGTTCAAAACAGGATGTTTCGATATTTGCTTATTTAAAAGCTTAATAGAATGAGATTCTCGTTCTCCTTACTCTCTTCAAACCTTCTCACAACTCTATATTTCATCATCACGACATGGAAGCTTCCTCAACCCGGAACAAAGTTTCACAGATCTAACTCAGGCCTCTCTCTCCATCTATCTCCATCTCCACCTTCCTTCAAAATCACACGGTCTCATCTCATCTCATCTCATCTCATGATCTAAGTACATCTCATCTCGCACCAATCTCACCAACCACAAAATCTCCACTGCCATCGGAAAAGTCCCACCTATAAGTAACCAAGCAAAAAGCCCATGTTCTCTCCCATCAAGGTGCACTGATGGTGTGCCTCGACGCGAAATCCCCAGTATCACCTAAACCACCACCTCGCTTCCCTTCGTACCACATCTCCATCTCCTAATACTCCCGACCCTGAACCCTTCGGTACCACGTCTCACCACACACTCCTCTAAGTCTTCAAGTCTCCAACTCCACCATCTCGTATCCATCTCACACAAGAAAAAACATGGCGTCCGATGCCAGATCTCGACCCCGTCGACCCAATATAACGAAATCTACTGTCGACACATCAATCTGCCGTACGACACGACCGATATTTAGCCCTCTATCCCGCTCGTCTCAAGCCACCGACCTCATAATCCTGGCCTCGAGGATCCTTGACCGCCGTTTTCCCAAACTCGGAGAAATTTGAACTTTGAAGATTCATCAATATAGATTATGATTTAGATTAACGAAACCTTTTTTACACCTCAAGTACCACACACATATATGATGACCGCGCGAATGAAAAAGAGAAGGAGTACAAATACAAATATATACCAATAGAACGTCGGAGAGAAAAATCACAACAAAAAGTTCTGGGAGTAACGGCGGGCGAGTAGGCAAAGAAAGTGGTATGTTTTCATTTGGGAAGGTTTACTAAACACTTGTAGCTCTCTCGATTCAGGGCAAAGAAGAAATGAAATTCGCACAAACGCATGTACGATATACCCAAACACCTTTCTAGATGGACCCTATGGCTGTCTCATTCACCATCTCTTTCTTTCCCGCAACTTCACCGTCACACAGTTACGTTTTCCGTATTCCATCTCTAATAACCTTACCGCTCATTCGGTTCCTCGAACAAACCCATGCACAATTATACCATGTGCAAGCCAAGCCCTGTCATCCTGTCACTCAAATCCGATCCGATCCACCGGGGAGAAATGGATTTTCTTCCTAGAGATGGGTGTTTGTGATGTGATCTGCAGAAGGCGCCAGTGAAGCTTCTCTATATAAAGGGCGGGAAAAACGTCATGACGTAGATTTGTACGATACGAATCTTAGATGCGAGGCGTGCGCTTGCGAGGACATGGTCATACGTAGATGTATGCGTGCATACATATTGTACGGTAAATACCTTCTGCAAGTAATGTATCTATGTAGCTATTCACGTAGGAGGTAAGTAGGTAGGCAAATAATTCGGCACATTTCTTCACCGGCAAGGCAATCTGCAGAACGGAGAGCCGATTTAGGCTGATGGATAGGAAGTCTGCCAGTGGATTGGAAGTTGCCTCGAAACATTGGCTTTTTCTCTTATTATTGTAATATTACTTGTAAATAAAAATATAATAAATTTCCTAACCATTTATCCTATCCCATATAGTACTAGCCACTTCCCCTCCCAAATAAACCAATCCAGACTAATCTCAATAACCATCCATTCCAAAAATGACCCCTCCATCCCCTAATTCCCCTCCCTCCATAAAACTAATAAACCCAAAGTTCTAGAACTGCCGATCCGGAAAAATACACTATCCACCACAATCAACCTATTCCTTTTTTATTCCAACCCAACACAACACAACCCAACACAAAAGTCCCATGACCACGGACCTGGATATCACAAGTGAACAACCAATCAGTCTAACTACAAACTATAACCAGAAAATCGGAATTCGTACTCTTCCACGAGTTTGCGAGTCCACCAATCCACCAGTCCCGTTCACTTTGAAACTAGGTATGGTACTTTTGTCCCGTGCGCTGTACGAGTAGTATAACCTGATTTAATTTAATTTAGTTTCATTTCATTTAATGTGATGTGATGGTTGTGGTTTAGCTGTTGGTGTAGGTGTAGGTATTGTATAGGTATTCTTTACGCTGTGAATTAGTGATGGATTAATGATGGATTGGTGGATTGGTGGGTGTACTCTACTATACTATACTAATTCATACACACACTTATTAATAAAAAGTACACTAGCAGCACTAGCACACAAGTGGAAAAATTACCCGATATATTTAACTGACCTATCCTACCATACCCGATACTATATACGAGTAGTAGAAGAGATATAATACCCGATATCCAGTACTGTCACGGTATATACTGTATGAATTATGAATTGAGTTTTACCGATATTTCTTGTTGCTACTTATCTATATCTTGGATTATATTTGAGATATTACATCTGAGATACTTGATCTCTTTCTTTCTCTCTTTTTTTTTAGCTAGTTATCCATTTTATCCATCGCATTTACAATCCCATTCACAATGCCATTCCCATTCCCCATTGCCATTCCATCCCATCCCATCTCCCTCCATCTCATCTCCCAATTCATCTACCCGTACGTATCGTGTACTACACCTCTAGTCCTCTCCCCACCTTCATCCTCAA